ATATTATATTATATAGTAGATACAAGTCTTTACTTCAAGTAAAATACTATAATAAAGTATTTACTCTCAATATATTTTTGTTAAAATATATTTACTCAATATTTAAAGCTATTATAATACATATACTGTATTATATTCATTAATAATACTTTTAGAACCTTTTTAAGATGTATAAGAATTATCTTTACTGTCAGTAACAGTATAGAGGGGACCTGAAGGCTCAGTAAGGGGACCCAGGCTACAACTATCCTACACAACAGAAATACAGAACACAAGTACCAGAATGTAGTTGGAACTTGCAGAACAGACATAGAGAGAGAGTGAGACAAGAGTAGAGTATATAGAGTAAGCCTAAGAGTACAGGACTACCTAGAGTAAACAAGATCAAGACTACAGGACCAGTCTGATCTTGTACACCTATATATACTAAACTACACAAGAGTACTTAGAGAGTATGAGCCACTAAGGATGATGAGCCACAAAGGATGAAAGAAAGGAAGGTTAAAGATAAAGGTACAAAGAATGAAGGGATAGACAAAGGGTAAGAGACTATAGAATGAACAAGAACAGAATGATGAAGTAAGAAAGGGTAATAGTGAGAGTCAGCCTACATATAGTTCATAGACAGTACTCCTAAGGGACAGAAGTCCCAAGTTCTAGTACAGAAGGGTGTAGAACCCTTAGAACTGAAGGTACAAGAGTAGAGAACTGTAACATTTACTTTATAACCTTATTAAAATTCTTACAATTACTATATAATTTATAGATAATGTGTATTCTACTATATAAGAACTATAAAGCTATATAAGAAACTAGACTTTTCCCTGACAATATTCTAATACATTTTTGTGTTCATTTTTGTAATGTTTTGGTTTAGTTCAGTCTGCTTTGTAGGATCCAGTATTGCTGCCAAAGTGACAGAATGTTAATGTGTATTAGCTTATATATAAGTGTATTACTGTTGAATTCAGGAAGCTGGAAGGTAACAAAGGAGAAGGTTGTAGGTTTATGCTTAATATTAACATATACACATTATCTGAGCACTCAATTCACAGTGCTGGGTAAGTACTGAGATCTAAATTTGACTTAATGTTAAAGAGACACATTATAATTACAAATGCATATTCTCAACACCTAGATTGTTTGCAAATTATAAACAATAGAATTATGTAGGCTAAGTATTAACTCTGGTCTCTGAGAGAATACAAATGTTGGTGAAAGTTTCAATCACTCCAAGAAAACTCTCCACTACTATTGTCTTTAGTATCCCAATTGTGCTCCCGAGAGAATTTTGCAAGTTTTGCATCTATTTGGGATTCAATCTCTTTCTTGTTGTCCTCCATAATCCGGCTACCAGAGGTATAGCCTGATGTCCCTGTAAATACAGTAATTTCCAGGATGGTTTCGAGTTTTCCATCACGTAGAATTGAGAGTACAACCGTTAGATCGAGTCCAAGCCGCTCTGCCTCTTCAAGGGTTAAGCTGGAGCGTCGCAATGCAAGTTTTCGCAGCTCTGGTTTGTACCACTCCTTAATGTCATATAGACGAGCAAGTTGGAGTTTACGAGAAGCGGGAAGTCCTAAGGCCTCAAGGTCTTTGATTAGAACCTCTTGTAGCCCATTGAAGCACCACATCTTAGCTAGCTTCAATGCCATCTCGAGATCGTGTTCTGTGAGTGACTTTGTGCTTCGAAGTGCTGGCCTAAAAAAGCATCTTTAGTACTGTCTTTCATTTGAATATCACAAGTAATCAGCACACACCTGCGAATCAAGGCCTGTAAGAAACAACGAAAGTCACTAACTGACACACCCTCCAGACGGAGCGGATGCTCATCACTTTCTCCTTCCTTAGCATTCTCTGATGGCAATGAGTACATGTCTTCAAAAACTTCGGATTCCTCCTCAAATTCTCTACGAGGGACTTTGAAGATCGTGTCTTCCACCTACAATTGATGTCAGTTTACGTCTTGAAGGTGCTAGAACGACGAGCACTACCTGAAAAGTTACGAGCGGCGAAAAATACGATAAATCATCCTTTTTAACCTCCATGCTAGTGTTCTGGATGAGTTGTTGCTTATCGTGATCGGGTTTCTGAACAGGTTGGTAAAAGGAGAGGACGCGGTGAAGAATGAATATATATGAGACGCCTCGAGGCCTTCACATGTTCAGCGTATTTGGCCTCCTGATACTAGGTCACAGAACCGTAAAGTATGCCCTTTTCTATCATTCACTTACTGCTTGAAGTAGTTTATCCGATTCTGTTAGGTGCACTGCCCTGCTTTCAAGATTAAACAGTAGCGTGATAGAAAGACACCACTATAGGCACATAAGGTAAAGGGCACTCTGAAGAATCATTACCCAAAATGAAGGATTTCAAGTATGTGGAACGACACAGCTTGACAAAGTTAGGTAATAGTTGATACTTTGTAGTATGGGAACCCTAAGTCCAAGGATCCAAGATGCTCCAGCGCTTGACAAGGCTATGACCTGCAGTTGTTCAATAAGAGGAGTGAAAGGCCAAGCTGGCTGTGCCTTGGTGTAAGCAAAGTGGAAACGTTATGGTAGGTGTCGTATTCAATGAGAAAACTGTGATAAGCATAGCCTCGTCTAAGAGATCTGGTAGGGTGAGAAAAGGCATAGTGGAGCTATTCCAGGTTATTCGGGACTATGACTGAAAGCGTAAAAACGAGCTGCGGGCCTGGAGAATACATATTCTATCTTGTTATGCCTTGCGCAGTATTTTTCTTGCGTACGAGCGCGTCATGGGCGTGTGAGTTGTCAATTCGTCAAACACCATATCTTTAGATCGGCATGGCAATGCAACCGCCCTGACTGAGCAGGGAAATGTCAGAAAGGCGCGAAGTCGGATATAGCCCAATTCTCTGCGAGTCATGCGTAGCACTTAGCAAAGCAAAAGTCAGGAGAGCATCCGACATCCACGCGCGTTGTCCGCCCGACGGGCCCACTTTCGCCTGCTTGCGTAATATTTTGGAGGAGTCTGGGGTCCATTTTTTACCATATTTGGTAAGCGTGGATCTCATTGATCCTCCGATTTCGCTCACATTCTGGACTTGTACAGGAACGTCGGCGGGAGATCTAGACAAACCCAGGCATCCGTGCCCGTCTGCCACCGCCGTCTTTCTCTGATCCATCGCTAGCCTACAGCTCGACGTTGGCGTTTAGTCTAGGCAGGTAATATATGGATCATTTGGATCCTGTTCTTTACTTGACAAGCCCGGGGACGAAACGCGCTGGAACAAGCTTCTAACACGGGACCTGTCGGAAATGGTTGGTAATGCGGAAAGGACGGGCACACAACGCATTCAATCCAGTCTCGGATGTGAAAAATGCACGGTCAGAACTCGGATTCCCCAATGCACTTTTAGCATGCGCCCGCCAGTGATATACTCTATCATGGGTTCGACTTTCCGAGCACAGTGGAAGTCAGTGGCGTTTCCGATCTTCCTCTCTTTCCGATAGCTCCTTCGCCGCGCGATAGGGCACAACTCGTGATGCTCCGCATTCATCGCCAGCAAGCCATCTTTTCCCGCAGTTCGCAAACTTGGATGAATTTTGCGTCCAAGAAACATGATTGTATTCTGTGCACTCCAACTTAGGACCGCTGAATCACCGAGACTCAAATTGTTAAGACGTCACTTCAAAGCAAACCCACCGAGATGCTCTGCCTTGGGCATCAAACTCCCTATCTTTTCAATTATTCCTGTGCTAAAATATGAGGGCGCTCCGAGGCACCGTCAGCACTCTGGTCTTCTTTGCCTCACTACGAGATGGCGAAGTAACTGCAAGTCCCGAATTGTTACTATGTATTTATAGGCAATCATCTCCTCGCTCACATTCGGATCCCCAAAACTCGGAAACCTTGGCGATAGCCTGGGATTGAACTACTGCGAGTCTGCTGGCACTGACTGCCCCACGCTTGCCGAGGTTTGCGGTCTCTGTATTCCTCGCATTTGATTCCGGGTTTCTCGATTGTTACTGGGTGTTGTCTTCCTATTTCTCTAAGCTTCTCGTACCTGGCACATCACGCTTCGTTCTGAGAGCCGTTTTTACGCACAGTCTGCGCATAGCCAGCACTCCCACTCCACGGTCATCTGGCACGAATCCGTGCGCTGTGCGCTTTGCCTCCGGGCCTGCATCGCATTGTGGGGAAATGTGTTCCGTGACCCTAATCGGGTTGATGCAAGCCCATGCCGCCTGGCTTGATACGTGTACTTATCGAGCATTGTGCACGATATTATTATTGTACTGTGCATACACATGTTTTGCCGACCACCACGCGTGTATGTGGGTTGTGCAATTTTCATTCGGCGATATTCGTGTGAATTCCGCATTTGCATGTGTTCTGCTTCTGATGTATCCAAAAATTGACTTGACCCATTCCGAGGGCGTTGATACCCTGCATAGCAATGATGTTTATTTCTTTTCTGATACTCAAGAGTGTTATGCCGTTTTATGTTCGGAACAATCCAAGGTCGTGCACAACATGCTGTGTGCTCTCCAGTCAGAGCTTGTCAGCAAGAATACCGAGCATCCATTGACATCGATCGGATGGTGCCAGAATCAACAGTAGGGCGTGCTTCAGACGATGCCTGGGCCTTAATTAACGTTCTGACCCTATTCTAGAGGATTGGTCCGTCATCACAGCCCTCCAATACTTGATTTCTCAGGTACTTTATGTTTTGCTGTCACTAGTATTCAGAAAATGGTAATTATTATTTGTTTTTATTGTATCAGATTTGACCTAAACTTAGCTTTATATTCTAGTCTAATTGCTTAAAATAGTGTCCCTAGCTTTCCTGATTCCAAAGGCAGATTCAACAGAACTTCTATACATAGTGTGTAATTATTAAGTAGAATAATACAACTCACCGATCAACGCGTGGCAATGACTCAAATCGCATCTTTCGCGTGTTTGCACTGGTTTACTGTACTTCATGTCGCCGCGTTGTTGCGTCCAGGATGCCCGCTGATGCACCTGACTCTAATTCTGACTCGGAGAATATAATTGCAGTCGGAGTTAAGCTGTTCGGCGAACATACATTATGAAATTCCGAGTCAGATGGGTTCAATAGTGGAAAGGCTGTACCAGTACTGTATGCATGAATCGGTATTCTACACGCATAGGCCCGTAATGAGCTGAAGGACCAAAGAGAGTGCAAGCAAGTTAGATTGAATAAAAATCATGTATCATTATTCGATAAGGAAATTGCAGGACATTCAAATCGTTTACTCGGGACTTACCAGAATGCTAGTAACAATGTACACGGTTTAATACAAGTATCTTCGAAGTTTGGTGGCCATTAGACCCACGTAGTAAAGCCTCTCTACCTTAATCTTACATTCAAGCAGTAGCCGCTTTACTAAATGAGCAATTTCCATCTAGGATTCACCGAACTAATCAGTTGATAACAAGTAAGCCACTTTCGGGTTGAAGCGCATACGGGTACTTCTAAATTCTAAGATGGTGTGCATCTCAAAGTCAACATGGCTATAGTGTAGTAGCAGTAGGTTCTTCTATGAACGACACGAGTACACCGATACCGGTACCTATCAATCAAAGTTACGATAACTTGAAAGCTGCCGTACATTACTTCTTCTCTTCTGAGTTCTAGTACAGAGCATGGTAGTGATCACGGTTTCACAGAATGTCCATTGTTCATCCAGATACAGCAGTCGCCTCGCACATTCCCGTTAAGAATTTCACTATCAGGCGCCTTAGAGGGAGAAACTGTGAAAGGGGGTGAGGTGAAGATTAATATTCCCGCAGGATGTACTAGTATTACTCCGAGTGAATCGATAGTGATAGAAGTCGCGCACATGTGTTTACTGTACTGATTGATACTGCGATGTAATGTCTCAGATAGCAATTTGGGCTCGAATCCTACCTAGAGGTTTAATTTAAAATTTAATTAATAGCGAATAAATAAAAATAATGACCACCCTATGGCTCCGGGTTGCGGCCCGGAGCCGATGCGGCTGTCATTTTGTTTTCAATTTTCCGAATCCACCAAAACCCGAGGCGATTTCCTAATTTAATTTAGATAAAACATTCGACGTAAGGCTCAAACCACTTTCTCAAAGAATGGAAAATACCAGATCTCACCCCACTATATGGCTAGCAATTTTTTTGGTAATTGAACGACCATGACATCCCTATCCCAACGTTTCGGGACGCTCAAGAAACCTTGAGTGAATAAAGCGTATGATGCTGGGAATGTAGTAAGACCCACACCCGTACTTTCCGGTGGTACACATGTCATGTATGTAAGTGGTATGTGGTATGCAATCCAAGCACATGCTGTGGTCTACATTCATGCGCGCTCAAGCGAGTTCTTCGATACAGCGAACATTCCACACGTCTCTCGAGAAAGGTGGGTTCCGCTCATACATTGCGTAAATACGCAATTTATTTCTTTTCCTTCTCATATCTTCTTCCCTCCCGAGAGACTCAACGACCCTTCTCTCAGAGGCTCCAGTCTCCACTGCGCCTGCACCACACACAAATTATTCTGAATCGTCCATCAATACAACTCAGGAGTGAAAGTAATGAGTATGCATCATATGACCGTAGTAGTAGTTGGAGGCAATGGAGCCGACCCCTCCCGATCGAAGTGGAAACTTGCTGAGCTGATTATATGCGCGCATATTTACTAAATTTAGTTCACTCCAGCCGTGTAATGCAAGTACAATATTTGTATTTGCAAAAATTCAATCTAAGAAAACATTATTAATCTACCTAAGGCGATCAAGAACATGGGATGAAGGAATTATGAAGACCCAAGGAAATCGCAAGACATAAGAACATGCAAAAGAAAGAAAAGAAACGAAGGCGAAAGCAGTTTTAAAATATACGTGTAAAGTATAGTATGTGTGTTAAGGATTGTGCAGAATGGTGTAGTACAACTTGTGGGACGGGAACAATGGAATGAATCACAAAACATTGCACAGAAATACCATAAACATGTTGCAAAAGTATAAAAAAATATAAAGCATGGCAACGAGTTACAAAAGAATATATGCTGACCGAGAAGACACGAGAAAATTGCAAGAGTCCGATAATGGATGGGAAGCCAAGAAAACAAACTGGGGGAATGACCGAAGAGCGCGTGTTTTGTTCAGAATTGTGTTAGTCTGTGCACCTTGGCCGAGAAGATGATGAGAATGCCGAGAATCCCCAAGAAAAGCGGAAGGAAAGATAAGAAAGGAATAACGTAACGCTCTACACGTTTACAGTCTGCATGAATGCAGGGTACAAGGATGGCGCTGCTGACAGTGCACTTGAACGCTTATGCGAGTACGGCGTCTGCGAGCGTGGGCGTGCTCCCATTGCAGGACCGGCGGAAAGAGAAACCTTGGCGTACGGCGAGGCCGGGCGCGCGGAATGGGGTCGCTGGCTCAAGTACGGGTGCGAAGCAGGGAATACGCGATGCAATGGGTAAGCGGGGTAAGGAAGAGTCGGGTAAGGCGGAGGTGCAATCGGCAACTGTACTGAACCAGTCAAAGTCGAAGATGGAGGGCTAAGTGCCATTGCTGGGGTAGGAACGAGAGCCGGAGCAAAACCCGGGACGGGAGGGAAGGCGTCAAGGAGGTGGAAGTTCATGCTTCCGTTCGAGACGGACTTAACATGGGTAGGCTGGGTTACAGGTTTCGAAGCGCTTTCGGGGACAGTGTAGAGTTCTCGTGATGCATGATGAAGTGGCGGAGGCGTGCATAGTGAGACACTATCGTCGCTGTCCGTAGCCGGAGAAGACGATGCAGTGCGCGTTGAACAGGATTCCGAGGACGCGGGTGATAGGAAGACGCCTCTGCGGCACCGTGCGCGTTCCTCCGCATGATCGTCAACGTCCATGTCCATGTCCGTTTGTGCTCGCTTCTCAGGTCGTCGGTGAGGCTGCATCCGGTCGCGCTGTGCCTTTTCCTCCCACACGGCACGCACTCCACGCAAGCTTCCAATGGACTTCTTCTCAGCAGCCCCATCTACTTCCATACGCACGTCCTTTCGCGCTGAAACAGACTTGATGTTCTTCGCAGCCGGGCGTAAAAGCGCGCTTGCCCTGACCATACTTGAGCAGACACGTACAAGATCCGCCTCGGTGATACCAAGTTCCCAGTCGAGGACTTCGAGAAACTCGCGCTCAATACGCTGAATGTCGCGACGGCCGAAAACACCGGTGCAAAGCGCCCAGTGCGCATTCTTGAGTGAAGCATCGTTAAGGTACTTGGATGCGGTGATGAGAGCGCCAAGAAGGACACGATGCTGAGCCCATTCTAGAATTAAAGAACGGTTCGAGAGATCAATACTTGAAAGGAAAAGAAGAACAGAAGGGAAGAAATAGTGTACCTTCGATGGCGATAGAGAGGTGGGGACGTGCTCGTGCAATGTAGACGAGGGCACCGATTACAGCGGAAAGGGTGACCTCTGCACGACGAAGCACGGTGGCAACAAAACTAGCAAAGGCGGTACGATCGGAATCCGTTTTGTCGGACCGTCTCCGGCGAGAGTGCTTGGCCACTGCTGAAGCGTTGGATGAAGTTCGTCCAAGACCAAAGTTGACAGCTTCGCAAACTTGGTCGACAAGGTAGTCAATGACGGGTTGAGTGATCTTTCCGGACACCAGGCTGGAGAGCTCATTGGGGGTGACGGGTAAGTCAACTATGGATGTGTCGGGTCGGTAGGCGTGGTCGTCGGCGAGTGTCATGAAGGAAGAGGACGAACTGGCAGGTGATGTGGATGAAGTGGAGGGCCAGTAAGAGGAGGGCGAGTGCATTGTCTGCTGTTGTGGACAGACGGACGAATGGTGTTACTGGCTGTAGCGGGGATATGAAGAGGGAGGAGCATAGCAGGTGGGATATATAAAGGAAGATGGCTTCATGTTGTCTCGTCATACTCGGTGTGAGTCTGTCCGATATCCCTGTCACCGGCACCAGCAGGTGGCGCTGCACCTATTCTCATCCAGCGCTTTCCGGGGTCCGCGCAACAGCCCTTTTTCGTCTGGGCCCATTATTCATCGGGTTTCCCGTCCCTTCTTGTATTCCCGCTGCCTGATTCATGATTGCTTCTTTGACACTCTTTTCGCTGCTCCTTCCCTATCTGTTCGAGTTGCGATGCCTTTGTTGCTCCAACAGGTCCCTCCTTCTTGCACTTGGTATCGGATGACACATGTCGCCACTCTGCCTGCCTGCATCTGCCTGCACGCCGCTGTGCAACGCAATAATACACTACTTAGACAATCCGCCGAATTCATCCGCGGATGCGGTCGCGGTCGCCCTTAGGCCACGCCGCGCAGCAACCCCGTCCGGTTCGCCAAGGACACTGCATCCCCCTAGCTGTTAGACTGCGGCCTGCCGCTCAATCGCACGATCCAGCTTGGGCCGCAACCCCTGCTTGCATTTCATTCAAGTGTATTCTATAATTTCTAATGCCCGCATTGACCCTCCTCCATTCACGTGCCTGTATAGCCATATGTGGGTAAGCTTTCCACAGCACAGTGGAAGACACCAGGCCCCAAGGCCCGAATCAGCACGCTCTGCTGATCTCGTGCTGTGTCATGCTTCTCTCTGTTGGCCTGTGCTGGCAGCTCACTGTTACTGATTTGATCATCCACGATAATATTCCTCCGTGCACCACACACTTGCGCGTTCCTCGGCGGGCAACCGCCCAACTCGCCTATCTCTGCCGTTTCGGGCTGCAACCCCCGTTCAGCCCATGACATGCCACGGTCGCAAGTAGGCGGGTTGGGCTTGAGATCGGGTCTCTCGGACACCCATAAATACAGTACCATGTTAGTTGATATCCACGTTCGCTGGCACATTCCTCCGCTTGGCCCCATTTCTATTTCTCATGTCGAGATGTTCCGGTGCTCTCACCCGCCATTCATCCTGACTTGACCGGACTCGGGTATTGTCGTCCGAGTACGAAGTGTGTCCGAATATGAATCAGATATGCTTCCGAGGCTCCCTTCCGAAGCTCCCTTGACTGATCGACAGTTGACGATCCACCTTGAACGTACAGGTATATCCTCAAATATACGCACCCATTGACTCTCCTTAATGATGTTCCCCCCTCTTCCTCGGCATCTTCGCATACATATTCAAATTGCAGCTTTTGTTCACAGATTTCCAATTTCCATCTTAGCCAAAGAGAGAAGAAATAAAGGAGAATCGATTTATTCCCTGATTTGATCGCTGATCCCAAATCGAGATGTGATCATGTGTCCCATACTTGGAGACAAACGATTTCGAAGCCCAACAACGTCGCCTCTTCTTCCGCCAGTCTGTCGGTCACCTTGCCAATCAAATCAGAATAGGAAGATTCCCGTATTGTGCTGTCTTATTGCGTGTCGCAATTGCATCTCAGACGATATCCCTGAGCGGGCGCTCTATTCAACATAACTTCGCGCTCGCATATCTGACTATTTGTTTTAAAAAATCGGAAGACCCTTTACTTATCATGATTCATAGTGTGCTTTCAATCATGATCCATTATTTTGATGACTATCTATCAGCCATTGCGCGCTTCCTGTGCATCCGTTCGGCGAGGTGTAGATGCGCCTCATTTGCTGACTCGTGATAAATCGGTCCGCGGGATGTGCAATTTCGGAAGCCGTCAAAATCAGGTGAGATTCTGAGAGACGTTAGGAAGTGCACAGGCTCTTCCACGGCGGCGATCACCTTCACACTCACAGGACGTTGATATCACTACTACAACTGTATGCTGGGAGCGATACCGGAGCCCGACGCTGCGTCGTTCGTACGTTTTGTTCCTAGATACCCGTTTAATGCAGTGAACGAAGAACAGCTGCGGTTGCAGTTCACACTGAATCACAGTATATGTACCTGCGCGTTCTTCGGCAGTTACGAGCGACGTTTTGTTTCATGACACGATATATGGACACGGAAACGGTATTTTTCTCCTCCGGGTTCTGTCTCATCCTACAGCTTCCATGCAAAAATATCTTGATGCGGTGCCGTCAAGATTATTTCTATATGTTCATTTTATTAAATCTTAGCTGCGCTCAAGCTGTTCCTGTTCCCCTGCCATGTATCGCATAACGGAGGTTCGTATAAATATGACTCGATTGTTTTTCTTAATCAATTATTCAGGTCGAGAGTTCACATGTCCAGCGTTGGCAGTGCCCGCTCACACACATGATTTATATTCTCCAAGGAACGTGGAGATGGCGAGGCTAGGTGATTTGACTCCGCACATCCGCATCTGCATCTGCATCCAGTGTCCGGAAATCAAAGTCATTATCAACAAAATAGGGATGAACACGCGTCTGGAAGGATCGGAAAGAAGAACTACTTAGTAGATGTCAAGCGTGCTGCCAAAATTGTTGGTGGTGGTGCTAAGGTGATGAACGAACTGATCATGATGTGCATGCGTGCATGTGCATTTTGACCTCAGGCCAGATGACGGGTGTGCACTGGTTTGACTGGTTGAAGAAGATCTTAATCATTTATACTTCTTCACTTTTTTGTCGTTTTCGAAAGTCACACTTTGGTGCTTCTTCTAGTTCCTTTTGCCATCCGAGAATCATGATGTACGATCCTACGACTAGGCCCGCATCATCGTCATCATCATCATCGATGCCAGGCTGTGCAATAATATTTGCACTAGTATAAAGTGCTCGATAGACGCTCTGCTATCATAGCACCGACCTAGTCTCGGGTAAACTCTACAAGATACCTTGTGCTTACTGGTATTCCCCAAAGAAAGATCAAAGAACAAAGGAGGAAAATTGACGTTTGGGAAGCATGTGTCAGTCAACGCCACCTTTTCTTTGGAGAAGTCCTGGTAAGCGTACAATGTCCTTTCTTCCTTCTATTCCATGCTCGTTCTCCTGTAATGCTTCAGGTTCTCCTTAGTATATGTGCTATCACCAGCTTTATGATGAATAGGCTCGGAACTATATAAGGCGAGTACTGGATTTGAATTTGACTTTTCAAGTAACAATCCTCTTTTGTCATGATCCTGAATTTGTATGATTCAGTAACTGTCCTTACAACGCATATCAAGGCTCTTTGTTCTCATACATATAAAAGGGGACCGAATAGGGCTCCTCTTTGACTATTAGACGCTAGCTATGAGCATGTGCATGCGTGGGGTATCAATGTTGTCATTGATGCTAATGTCAAAATGGCTAAATAGAATCAGCTGGTCTACAGGACTTTTCATTCAACCGGTTTGCAAGCATCTTTCTTCACACAGAGAGTCTACGATAGAGTGTGTTTCCCGATATTTCTCTTGGATTCCAATGGTACAACTCTAATATCCTATATAGTAATGTCTTTCTACATTCCGAGCAAGAGTGTGCAGTCATAAACCATCAGCACTGAATATATGCATATGCATATGGTGAGCAGTTCGGATATTGTCAATTGACATCAAAACTAATGTCATACATCATTCTAAAGAAAGGTCAGATATTCTTAATGCATTTCTGTGCATGTGCTTTGAACAGCTCATCATACAGGCGCTCAGCTCAGATAATTTGAGAAGTAAGCAAAGCACACTGATACTGTTGCAGCCAGCAGCGGTAGAACGCAGACAGAGACCCCAGAAGTAGCCTCAAACACTAGCTGCTCTCCGTTTGCGTTATAATCCATTTTTACACAGAGACGTTTTACATAAAACGCACGTTAAGGTACCAAGGCAGGTAGGAAGTGCAAACTCGGTAGCGCCGGGGATGGATAAATCCATTTTTGGTCTCTTCATAGAGCAGCCGTCATAAATGCAATGAATGACGGTAACACCGGTGCCGTACGGGTGTACCACGGCATTAGGAGTGTACTTATGTATACGAATTACTTACAGGCGGTAGATCAGGCTTGCTTACGAACGCCACGCGTGAATGTATCGGCGGCGAGAAGGGAGGGAACGATGGGGATTTCGGAATGAGTTTTGGTGGTGTAATCTGTGCAAACCAGTGAAACCACTCCGTTTGGTTAACAAGTACTATTGTTACTGGATTCATTCGTCCGATTGTATATTATTAGAATCACTGGATTGCGGTGATCCGCCACGAAGAACCCTCACTTGTTTCCGAGATGAACGCAAGCTGCTTTGATGTGAGTAGAGTCTTCCCTTTGCTTCTGTATGAAGGGGTACAATTACCTAGCATGTCCCACCTATCCAAGAAGGCAAGTGGGAGGAAGTAATTGCGGGTGTACCGGATTCCTCTTGCCCCGGTTGCCTGAATAGCCACTATATGAAATTGGAACGATACGAACGAACGATGAAGCCGAAACCCGAACGCAAAGCGCGCATATCTCCGTCCGTCCAATACATTCCGAAATCATTCGCCGAGTCCGATCCCGAGGCACTGAATCTACATGTAAATCTGATAATTGTAAAATCTGAACGTGGGGCGGTAGTCCGACGGAACCGGGAGACATGTATGGTGGCCATGAATGCAAGCGGAAACGGTCTCGTAGGCGTTTGTATCGGCGCGGACCAGCCACCGTCTCGCTCATCTGTAAATTGTAATCTTCGGGCGCGCTGAGATTATAATTTACATTGAATGGTGATATCCAGGAACTAGTGATCGATCCTCCACTCTCGCGCCTCATCGCGCCTGTTTCTTTCGCAGATTTCTTTTAGTGGTTGTCCGCCATCCGTCGGTACGTCGTTCAGGCAACTTACATCATCAAAAGTGAGGTATAAAGTGAGATCACGGCGCACTAAGGAGCGCCTGGAACGGCAATCTCGTTTTCTAAGTTACGCGTCTCGACTCTTCGGTGGATTCGTTGATTTGGTGAAGGCTTGACGACGTGTTTGGTTGACCGCATCGCTAACGCGCTTATAGCAATACTGTTTAATTGTATGATTTGAAAGCGTATCACTATGAATGAGGCGTTTATTGGATCTACTGAGGCTGTTTCATATCAAAAACATACGTGTTTTGGATCGGCGCTATTTTATTATAAATTCAGATTTGTAGTGTTGAAATTTCTTTTCAAATTTCATCGCTAAATGGTCGTCATACGAATCGGACTCCAACGGATTGAATCATTAAGATCTCCTTTGTAATTTATTCCGTCGGACGCCTTGTTATGAATTACGCATGCGTAATAACCTCGAATTATGACTTACACATGTCCGGAAGAGCGCAAGTTTCACGCAGAATGCTCATGCGTGATGATGTATTTACACACAATGACACCTCTGTGAAGTCTGTATTATTGAACTCGCGGTTTACATCGGACAAATTGATTGATTTCTCTTCAATGCAACGGAATTGACTCTTATTCGTCACGTGCACTACGCGCTGTTGTCACTGAGTCCCAAATATCGAAATAAAAGACAAGTGAACATACGTTCTAGTACTAATGAGAGGGAAGCACGAGATGATTGAAGCGTTTATTATTATTAACGACGATATATTTGCAAGCCAATAAATGGTACGTCATGAAGAACAACGTGTATTTATCTATCATCTGTAGCAAGTGGGTATACACTACAAACTGTAGGTGCAGAAGCATGCTATTGTCGGAGATGAGGGGGCTTCTGAGTGAAAATCATAAGCAATACACACATAAAAAACGGGATGAGTGGAGCAATACACATGTGAGCGGTGAGTAAAGAGAATAAACATCGACGTAAAACATAGCGACAAATAAAAGCGGAGTTGGAAAGACATGAATGCAGCAATCAGAAGAATGTGCAATAGTGAAAGAGTTGTATCGACATCTACGTGCAAGATGATTGCACAGGAACGACCACTCTAAAGTGGATTGTCGGGCGTCCTTTGGCTACTCGCCTGCGGCGTCCCCACCAGCACCAGCGGATGTACTCCCACCTACGGCCGTCAAGTTCTTCTTATTCTTGCTACCCTTTGGACGGCCCCGCGGCCGTTTTGTCGGGGTCTCAGCCGCAGCAGGTTCCGAAATCGTGCGTTTAGCGCCCGATAACACAGGTGTAGAAGTTTCTGTGCTAGCAGGGGCTCCATTAAGCCGGCGCTCATTCAAGTAACTGCAATTATCGCGTGAACGTAAGTACCATTTCACAAAGTAAAGATAAGGAAATAAGAAGTGATAATGTGAAGAAGATACAGACGCTTGATTCTTCTCCTCGAGAGTTTGTTGTAAACTTGGCATAGGGGGTTGTCCAAGCTCTGCCCGCAGTGCGTCGACTTCTCGTTTCGCAACGGCATATTCTCCATCGGTGATGGCCTGTATTTTTGCACGTAGGTCTGAGATCCTGTGATGTACACATCAGTAAAATGAAACACACACATCGTGTTCTACGCACTCCTTGTTTATTGTCTGTTCACATAAGTCCGTCTACAGTTCAGAGTCAGACGGTTATAGAGGAGAAAAAATGGTAGTTAACCTTATCTCGATCCTCATTGACCTAGCACGGAATTCTTAGTTTGAGATAACATTTAGTTTAAGTACGTACTCACTTGCCGCAGGCAATTTAATAATCTCGATCGTTCACTTTCCAGTCTTCATAGCACGATTAGGACACGCTATTAGAAACTTCCATCTATAACGCGCACCTATTCTTCTCTTCCTTTACATCCTGCAACGCCTTATTCTTCGCTTCGAGCTGGCTATGAGCAGAAAGAATGTGTGCAGTGTGAAGTTGCAGAGTCAATGCGTGTTTCCTGTGATCATGCACGAGTTAGGAAGTCAGTGGACTTGGCGTAAGGAGGTGATGGCTCACTTCAGTTCTGCTGTCTTTGCTAGGTGAACCAAATTCTTCGTCCAGTCTCCTTGTGCAATTAGTGGCGTTGACTGGTTCTGGTTCTGAGCTTGGGCCTGCAGTTGAGTCTGAGTCTGGGTTGGACTCGCGTTCGCGTGCTGCTGTGTATACGTGTCATTTGGCGCGACTGTCGTCGCTGGTGGAACTGGTGTCGGAGTCTGCTGAGGTGGTGGTTGTTGCTGCTGCTGAGTCACCTGCGGATGGGCTGGCGATTGTGGAGGCACGTAGTGCTGCATGACTGGCGCGTACTGAATGTACGGATGGTGCTGGTGCAGCGACATCTGGATCAGAGTGCCCGTGGGCGTAGGGCAGACGACTGAGGGGCTAAAGTCTGGCAGGACATAGCGAGCAGAGAGACGCGGTCAGTGTCAAGCAGGGCAGGACGAAGGAGAAGAACTTGCCTGTGAGATTTGGCGACTGTATGCGTCTGCGCGAATCGTTGGAAAAAATACGTTGTGGTCACAGCTAAGGCAGTCAGTTTGCACCGCAAGAGTTTGAGGGGTCCTCGGCATTTCCCCCCGAAGAGCCTTCTTATGGAATTTCCCGTTTCCTTTCATCTCCTTCGTCATTCCTCTCGCACATTTCTCTCTTCAACCACCTCTTCTTAAAGGCGATCTCGAAAGCCTTTTTTATGTAATATGCTCCACACAGTAGCAGATCTCTTCTTTGTTCCGGAAGACGAAACGAAATTGAAAATTTCTTACGGTATTTTCTCCCGTTAATCTTCGCGGACACAGATCGGACACTATGCAACTCTGTTAAGTATCCTGGTCACCAAAGTCATACACTAGGGAGACTTGCTGCCTTGCTGAGATTCCATCATTCTCTCAAACATTTTAAGGTCTGCCTCAAGAAGACTAGTATTTCATCTGTGCTCTTCGTCATCGCCGTCGTTCCTTTTCAGCTTCTTGATCAGTATTGCGGTATACACAAAAAAGTAGAATGTCTATCTACTCATTGGTACTGCATGACTTTAAAGACAGAAGCTAGTACATGTTGAAGAGCTTCCATCATATCTGACAGCCGAATATGAGGTAATCCAATCACAACAAATTGTACACTGATCTTTGGATAATGCACGAGGAACAGGAGGATGTGCTTCTACAGTAAAATATGTCATAATGCATCAATTTATAATGCATATTTGGCATAACGCATTGAGGTTTTCCATTAATTGAAATTTCATGCTTAAATTGTATGTGATAATGCATAAAACATGTAATGAATTCAATTTGGTCTTCTCCTAACATTATTCCTTATGACATATATTACTGTACAATATGTCTGAAGGCAAGATTGTGATAATATACATATCCTAGGACGGGATTTGCCCTGAATGTGTACACTTGGTTATGGAAGACAGTGAGGATGACAAATAACGAAGGGAAGAAGGACAGACGGGACATGACGAGTAACTGGGAAAAGATAACTCTATACAATTTGCCAGAAGTCTTACTAGCCTCTTGCATTTCCCGTGCATGATGCTTTAAAATACCTCTTTGTCTTCTTGTGTAACTGTAAAGTGATGACCAAACAAAATCGATCACTCTGCATAGGATTTGAATGGCACACAGCCTGAGTTCCGGGCAGCTCTACCCCTGTGGTGCAGGAGATTATCACGATACGCCCGAGATCAGTCAAATTCTGCCTGCAAGCAAAAGTTAATTAGCACGATGTTCGGCAATACGTTCCGAAGCGCGGCCCCTAAAAAAGAAAACAGCAAAAGATAGTGTAGAAGTAGTAAAACTTGTGCAGGATCCGACCGAGACAATTCAAGAAGGAGTTCTACGGATAGGTTTTCGGAACGGTGTTAGTTACAGGGAAGAGCGCATGATGGACTGATGAAGGTCATTGAAGGATACGGAAGAGAAAGTGGAGCGCGACGAACGCCGCGTTTGTCCCCGAGTGACGTCTAATTGTTGCTGCACGAATGGCTTTCTGCGATGCTCATAGCTGATGGTCCTCGGATGCTCGGAACTAAAATTTCGTATCGCGGAGAACAGACAAGAGAAGGAGGAGTTCATCCGAAGGTCTTTTGATAATATCAGGAATATTTAATCCTATTTATTGATATTCTCAAAGGACGAGAAAAAGCCTACAATAATTGAATAATAAAGTTAATTATCCGAGGGACGTCACGTGCTCCAATGATCGAGACGAGAGAATATTGTCCCGGAGTCTCGACCTGCTACCGACCGACTCTAGCCCCGCCTCGCCCCTCCACGCGTCCCGCAACGAGCTAAAACGCTTAAATATTACTCTGGCAGTATGACGATCAGGCTCGTCATGGTGTTGATAATTAAGGCTTGAGGGAGGAGACAGGGACAGACGTAAACGTCTCGGTATTGGTTGGCGAAAGTTAGAAGAAATTGGAATAAAAAGAAAATATATTGAATCTTGACTCTTCAATTCCCCTTGTTTGAGGAGGAGACGCTCTGTTGCCCTTTTGGTCTGAAGTGTTTCCGATTTTTGTCGTCCTTGGAAGATTCTTGAAATTGAGGTAGAGGATCAGAACGGGAGATGTCTAGCGCCAGAAAGATATGAAAATAAAAGTAGTTCGCTCCCGATAACGGGATGTTTTGGCTGTCTGATATGCTTTCAAAAGACCTTGCTTTGACGGTCCAGAGCCCAGACACAGCTTTACTTCGAACAGGACTGTCAATGTCTGATTACTTACCTTAAATAACAAATCAGGTAAAGGTACCAACTGTGTTTCGGTGTCGTTCGTCGCAACATGGATGCGCACCGGAACTAATGCGTATGATCGAGGAGTGAGTGCGATACCGACGAGTGAAGGGTCCGACAATCGCGCGCAGTGTTCGGGCTGGTGTCAATTGTTCCCGGCGGCAATATCTTGCGCGTGCCAGAGAGATTTCAAACGCTGCGGTCGCACGCTGTCAACAATGTAAATCTATAAATAACTAGTAACATACCCAAGCACGTTTTCTCGCCTCGCGTGCAGTGGAATGTAATATGGACAGCGCAACACGATGATGCGTGCTTTGTTTAGTTTAAGATCACGAAGGCCGCACAATTGGAAAAGACACAGCCTGGTTATTGGATGGGCGGGAATAAAGTTCAAGAAGCCGGTTATCGCCGCCTTCCAGGTCACACAGCGGGAGCATTGGCAACTTCATTTTGAAGGTCACGGGCTATTGATGCGACTGGATTGAGCAACGACGAGCAGGAAGCCGAGGAGAAATCGACGTGAGCACGTCGGAAGACGGGAAAACCTGAGAACTTGAAAACCCGTGTCGTTGGCGATTGGATGAAGGAAGACGCGCAGAAGAGCAGAAAGAGTAAAGATAGCTGGCGATTGACAGATGGGGGGTGGATGGAGATTCCGGAAGCCCCTGAACAAGCGCACCAATTGGCAATGGTGGTTCTTGCGCAGATAGGGCTCTGTGGTGTGGGTTGGGGGCGTGGGAAAGCTGGTAACGATGACGCTTGCGAGGTAAAGGCAAAGGACGACAATGCAGAGTTGTTTAACGGGAGAAGCGACGCTGGACGATTTACGCAGGCTGATGATGGACTGTTGGCCTGGACCAGACACAGCTTCGCGTGGATCGTCGTCGTCGGTGGGCTGGAACACGTTAGACGTTCTGTGCGGTAGAGCAGCGGATTGGACAGCGGTGGAAACGATCTAGAGCTGATGGGAATCTTCCGCTCACTGTACCGTGAGTATTTTAATTGAATGAGTGATTTCCCTTGTCCCGGGCGATCAGGAATAAGCTCAGAGCAATGCTGGCTGATTCTGCTGGATCCCGCTGGAGGGCGGGAGAGGCGGGTAAATGATGAGTAGCTGATATGGTTTGTCGGCGCCATGTTTCAATGCTGGGTTCAAAAAGGTGCCGGATTCGGCAAGGATTCCGGATAGATACTTAATATGTGCACGACTCGTGCCTTGTGTACAGTTCGCGGTCCTCTCTCTGTCTGTATTTTCATCCTCTCTCTGCCAACTCCAAGCCCTCCCCTTCTGCCGTATCCCGACCTCTCCTCGCTGTCGGCCACATCCCTGCCGTCACCAGCGTGTCGTACACAGAGAGCGCGCCCCGGGCTGTCCCGTCCACTCCGCACACCCCATATCGATCGGTTCTATTCTCGTCTCTCCTCGCGGACCTTCGGTGTATACAATGGACCAATCCTCGTCGTACCACCAGCATCAATCCCACCAGTCCCAGCAGTCCCATCATCCGCGCCAACAGCTCTTCCCTCAGGGCGGCCAACTCCCTCCGCCTTCCGCTCTCCAGCTCCCGATGCCCTCGTTCACCCGCTCCAATACCCTACCGCCAATACCCGCAATGTCGCACGCACCCGATGCGCGTTATCCACCGCCTTCTTATCACCCCTCTCTCGCAACGCCCTCCAGCTCGGCCGGTACGCTTGCGAGCCCTTCGAGTTCAAGCCACGCTCCTGCGCCGTGGTCGGGCCATCGCACGAGTAGTTCGCGCGACGAGACTCATCCCAGCATGAGGAGACGGGAGAGCAGGGGGAAAGCATTGGACGGCTCTCCAATGAGTGATGGTATGCGTGAGTCGCAGGGCAACTCGCGACACCAGTCATTAGCTGTGCCTACCGATCAGGGAAAGGATGGCGATGATGGCTTGAGCTCGACGAGCGACTTCGTGAAAAAGCTCTACAAGTCGGTATCTATTTTTATACAGCGATTATCCTGCTGACGGAAGTATGAAATTTTTTTCATTCACCCCAGAATGCTGGAAGACGCTTCGTTTCAGCATGTTGTGTCGTGGAACCAAGCTGGCGATGCATTTGTCGTCAAAGTTCGCACCCCGCTTATCGCATGGAGGTAGTCGGACTGACGACTTCTTTAATTTCAGGACATGAACGAGTTCACCAAATCTATCCTCCCACGAATGTTTAAACATTCAAACTTTGCTAGTTTTGTTCGACAGCTGAACAAATATGACTTTCACAAGGTAATGCATGCGAAGGCGGATATATGCCGTAATCGAACTTATATGGTTTTATGTATGCAGGTTAAAAATTCTGACGACAACCAATTTGGAGAACACGTAAGTGTAGACCTTTCTAGCAAAGAAAAAGACGCATATTAAATACAATAAATGCTGCCCCAGAGCTGGACCTTTAAGCACCCGGACTTTCAGATTGATCGGCGAGACGCTCTTGAGAACATCAAGCGTAAAGTACCCGCCCAACGGAAGTCCACAGCCAATGTTCGGGGTCAAGGGAATTCACCTGCCGTTTCCCCCTCGGACGGCGTTGACAATGCAGTCATTCAGTCGTTGCAGGCACAAGTCGAAAGACTAACGCAGGCTCACGACGAAATGGCATCGCACATTCGACATCTGGAGAACAATTACCAGTCCGTCCTTGGCGAGATGGTCAACTTTCAAAGGAACATGGCCCAGCAGGACGGATTAATGCAGAACTTAATTCAGTACTTTTTACAGCTGGAAAATGGTGGGTAGCATCCCTATATTTCGGCTGCCTCTCTTGTTTTCCTACTTTTGCGTCGCTCATTTTCTTTGCTTTACGGCCATTCTCACTTTCCCTTCTTTATCTTATGTGTTGAATATAACCTGATTAATCGTCTTTTCTTTTTTCTTTTTGCATGTTCTCCTTGGCATACTCTCGGTACGGTGTCGGTCTATTAGCCAAGATTAAGGAGGAGCAGAACGGCAATAATGCCAACGGGAACATGAACGGAGGGGGAGGTCCTTTTGCCGACCAGAACCCCTTTCTTGCTGCCCGGGAGGCGCAAAGAATGGTCGGAAATTACCCGGAGAACGACGTGGCGCGTGCTTCGTTGGAACAACTCAATGAGATTTCACGGAGAGCAGCTGCGGCGGGCATGAACTTCGCGAACGGTGGTGTTGCAAATGGCAACCGACCAGTAACACCGAATTCCGCTACCCGAATCCTTGCCACCGCGGCAGGTATGGTGCAGAATCCGAACCAGCAGATCACGGGGACCCAGCAACAGCAGGAGCAACAGAGTCCTAGCCAGTCAGACGATCAGAGTCAGGATCAGACGAATACATCTCTGGCTAACCTCAGCCGAGAAGATGCTCTGCAACGTATCGAAGAACTTGCTCGGCAGAGGCCGTCGTCTGCCTCGGGTCGCGCGGCTGGAATGCAAGCGGGCGCACCTCAGCAACAAATGCTCCCAAGTGTTCAATATGCGAGTGGTTCTGAGCCGTTCATCATGCCTGGACCAGAATCCGGTGCACTTGATCTGTACGCTGGTGTAGGGGGCGGTCCGGCACTAGTAAATGGACTAACCCATTCAGGTCTCCAAGTGTTTACTCTCGGTCACCTCATGCCGAAGTCGACGGGCGACGATGACAGTGCGATCTGGAGTTTCGATGCATCACGGTCAGGGCTCGTCCAGCAGGTACAACAGCAACAGCAGGCCTCTTCATCGGCTGCTGCGCAGGCTTCAACATCGTACGCTAGTACGTCTACAAATGGCGCATCATCGGCAATGCCCAATGGAGACTACGACTCATCTGTTGATGGTGGTACCGTAACTCGTCCTGGGAGCGCTCAAAAGCTTCGTGTACGTCGTTCGACCTTTGTCCCTGGATGGGCGGTTCCACCACGTGTGCTTCTTGTCGATGACGATGCCGTAAGCCGAAAACTTTCTAGCAAGTTCCTGCAAGTCTTCGGCTGTACGATTGACGTTGCCGTCGATGGTGTCGTCGCTGTAAACAAGATGAATTTGGAGAAGTATGACTTGGTATTAATGGTTCGTTTGCTTCTCTTGTGTCTTTTTTTTCGAGGGGATTGATGAAGGGTTGTAGGACATTGTGATGCCGAAGCTTGACGGTATATCAGCGACCTCATTGATTCGACAATTTGACCACATGACACCGATTATCTCCATGACAAGTAACTCGAAACCAAATGAGATCATGACATACTATAGCCACGGTACGGAAATTCGTACAAGCGGCACTTTTACACGGTATTGACGTAAAGTTACAGGCATGAACGACATTCTGCCCAAGCCATTCACCAAAGAAGGCTTGTTGAGTATGCTTGAGGTAGGATTCTAGTTGTGGGACGTAAGAGTCATGGGACTTACTGTTATCACAGAAACACCTTACTCATCTCAAGACCATTCAACAACTCTCAAAAGTTCCACGGTCCGTCGGAATCCCTCCGCTATCCGACAGCCAGTTCGACCAGGCTCTCATGGTCACAGCGAGCCAGTCCGCGCCAGATGAAGAAGGCGGAAAGATTAACCCGCTTGCTGGTATGGGCCTGTCGGACGAGGAATATGCACAGATCCTACAGGGCATCGTAAACGGCGAGACCTTCCAAGGCTTACATCCAAACTTCAACCTAATCGAAAAGCGGACACTTGATGACTCGTCAGACGGGCGAGACGGCAAACGAGGTCGCTTTGAAGTCATCGAATAATGTATATGTACCTCTTTTTTGTACACATTCCTTTTCAAATTTTCGTCTTTTATATCCTTTCCAGCATATATCGTGTACTCCACACTGCACGCCTTATGCCCTCCTCTCTCTTTCGTCATATATCTAAATGATTCCCAATTGTCCACCACTTCTTTGCTGTCCTCTTAACCATCATCAACCAACCTGGACAACAGGACTTTCTTGATCACCCTCGCTCTCATTCTTGCTCCTCCCATGTTTGTCGTTGTGCAGCAGTGCCTTTCTCCGTCCGTCTGCTAGCTCTTCATTATCTGTCTCTTTTACCGCTGCAGCTCTTTCACACTTTTCACTTTCATATCCATTTCCCCCTTTGCAGCATGTAGCTACTATGGATGTATTGTATAATTGTATTTTTCGCCCATCCGACGTGAAGAGAAACACGAGTCCACTCGTCGAATTTTGTCGCTTAATAATGATATTCTTTTCCTAGGTTCTCACTAGACCAACTAAACTAACCCTTACTATCTTTTTAGGGGGTGAGTGCGTCGCATCCTCTTATAACCAAGTTTCATGAATTGTGCCACTCCACTCATGGGAAATGAATCTTGCCCTCGCATCGGGAAATGTAATGGAAGACTAAAGGAATATCGATATGAATATTATGATCTGCGATCCGCGAGAAAATGGTACTCACCTCCGCTTGGTACTGATTCCTCCCTCCCAAAGATTGAAGATTGATCGCACGTTCGTTCACTCCACAGCGCAAATAGCCGTTTTGAGTTCATGACGAGGTTTGCTCAAAAACTTATTACTCGTTAATATTGTTACCGAATTCAGACACCCGATCTTTCCGGCAAGTTTCTCATGTATTACTACTTATTACTATTATGGATTATAGTTTCGACGCTCGAAGTGGAATTCGTTTGTCCTCTATCCTCTAGAAGTCATTCTAGTGCGAGTCGTCGACCTATTCTCAGTTCTCTCATAGTGTTTCAGCCACACGAAGTCTATCTCGGAGCTTCCCTTCTCATTGAAGTATTCTCATCACTAGAGAAAGACTGGAATCATAGCTGGGAGACAGGACTTTATCACTCATGAGCGTTACTGGACCTAGTCCTCCTATCGAACCGGATAATTCGGAGCTGACATCCTGGGTCAAGAACGATAACCCCAAACACCTATCGTTTCCGGTTCACGGTAGACACGTAGTCACCTGCTTGCTTATTACTTCTCGTGGTAGAGTCGTATCAGCTGGAGATGATGCTGAGATATACGTTTATTCGTTGTCGACCGGTAAACAGATACATTCATTGAAAGGACATGAAGGCGGCGTGTGGACGGTGAAAGCGTATAAAGAGACGCTCGTGTCTGGGTCGACTGATAAGACTGTACGAGTATGGGACTTGAAGACGGGAAACTGTATGCATGTTTTTGGTGGACATACGAATACTGTTAGGTGTTTGGAGGTTGTCAGGCCTGAAGAGGTTGATTGGACGGATGAGGATGGGGTTAGGCGCCGTGAATGTTGGCCAAAAGAGCCTCTGATCGTATCTGGAAGTCGGGATTATACTTTGCGTGTATGGACACTCCCGAAGCGTGGTGAAGCGGAATATCGATGCAGTAAGACAAAGGATCTTTCTGACGTGAGCTCTCATTGTACTACTAAATGGATTTCCTGTTCCATTGATATTGCACAGGAAGATACCACAAAAAATCCGTATTATAGATTTGTGCTCGAAGGGCATGAACATGCTGTTCGGGCCTTGGATGCACGAGGGCGTATAGCCGTATCAGGTAGTTATGACAATACCGTTTGTATATGGGATATCATAACGGGCAAATGTAAATGGGTGCTCGCAGGGCATACGCAAAAAGGTTTGTTGCCTCTCAAGTTCGAGGAAGAGAAAACAATTAACACAAAAATAGTTTACTCTGCTGTCTTGGATCTGGAGCGCGACCAAGTTTATTCAGGATCATTGGATAGTACTGTGCGAATATGGAGCGTAACCACTGGAGAATGCATACATACGCTCTTGGGGCACACGTCACTTGTTGGTCTCTTGGGTATATCGTCCTCATACCTTGCTTCTGCGTCGGCAGACGCAACCGTACGCATCTGGAACCCAGAAACCGGAGAGTTGCAGCACGTTCTACAAAGTAGTCATAACGGCCCGATTACCTGTTTCCAGCACGACGACTTCAAAGTACTTAGTGGGTCCGATGGATCATTGAGGATGTGGGATGTTAAGACCGGTTCGTTCGTGAAGGATTTGCTCAATGTCATTCATGGTGTATGGCAAGTTGCGTTTAAAGGGCGTTGGTGTGTTGCGGCGAGTAACCGTGCGGATCACACTATGCTAGATATCTGGGATTTTAGCCGTACAGCTTTGGAGGGCGAGGAATCTGGGGATGTTGAGGATAGTTTCTCGGTCAGTTCGGACGAAGAGGATGAAACCGAGGACTGAAGTCACTCAGCGCTGCTGTATTCACCACCTAAAAATTTGACGTAGAGATCTAGGGGTATATGTTGTATACGGGTGTAGAATACCTTTGCATACATGCAAGAAAATTATCACAGGAGCCAAATGCAAGACAAATGCAACCTCTCATTCTCAATCTTCCTTAAGAGGATGGAGCGCTTCGGCCTTTCGGCGTTTCCAGACTTTCCGTTGGTACGCAAGAATAATAGGGATGAACTCTCGCATACCAAATTCAGGCCAGTAACACGGAACGAATTGTATCTGGGTGTCTTCAGATGCTTGCCAGAGCATGTAGTCGCTTAGTCGTCGAACGCCACTTGTCCGAACGAGGATGTCTAGAGGTGGGCTTCCTGAAAGTGTCGTCATTAAGTTTGTGTCTATTGATTCCTCCGAGATGGAGCTAGAGAAGAGACTTATTAGCGGTGTCATTAAATTCGCGAGTTTGGCTTACTCGATGTCTCCACCGTTTTCTAATGTGTACTTGACAGTTTTCTTCATAGCAGTGGTCATTTCGTCACTGGAAGCGTATGGCATGCAGAGATTAAGTATGGCTCTATATCAAACTTTCAGAAATAATTACAGTCTGAGTATCAAATGGCTTACTTATTATTGTGCCTCGTCAAGCTCTCTGCTTTACGAACGGCTTTCAGAACGTCTGGAGGTAGCATGGACTTCTGTCCAAGTACACAAAGTCGGACACCGTACTTGTCGAGTAAGTTCCTGAGATTGTGAAGTTTTAAATTTTCATTCTGCATAAACTGGGAGCAACAGCTCACCCTTTCTCACATAGCTCGTAAAGTTTATCCCTTGCGAGATCCATGAGCGCATCCACCTCTTCTGGAGGACGTTTAAAGTTCTCGATAGCGAAGGCATACACAGATACGCATTTGATATTCAGATATAAGCATACTTCCAAGAGCTACAACCTCAGTAAGATTTTGCCACCAATACATAACCAAGCCTCTAATACACACACCTGCCGCAACGTCTGGAATCCATCAGCATGTCCACGAACTACTTCCATGTGCCTTCCTCGCGCATAGCGCCTATTTCCGTCCATTATAAATGCAACATGACGAGGAATAGGACCTGCTGAGAGGATAGCTAGTGCTATACGTTGTACGTGCCTCCTGAGCCATGCGTAAAGCCAGAAGATGAAGGCAAAGAGCGGAAACATTATTGTGGGAAATTTGGCTTGCATGGTGTTGACGTGTTATTTGGCACTGTTATTCTCCAATTTATTCAATTATTAATGACCTTCTCCACTTCAATTGAATTCAACTCATTACAATATCGTTAAATCGTTCCATATTGTGTAATTTAAAAAATGAACGCTACAATAATCTCTCAAGAAACTACAAGGAATAAAGATAGAACAAGGCAAAAATTATCAAAGTGAATCATTCGCGATCTAAATCTTCGCTTGGTCTGTTATTCAGAGTTGCCTCATCCGATTTATCTGTCTCTGTTGAAACAAGTTAGACAATAGAAAGACACAGCAACCAGAACGCTAACCACTCGAGTCACGATGTCTGAAGATGAGATAAAAGATGTTGCCGGCAAAAAATGTAACCAGCGCGATTCCAGCATAATTCTTGACAAGATTCGGATCATGTACGAAAGGCGCAAGTAAAGCATTAATCATCTATTTTCAAGATCAGCGACATAGCACCGAAGATATAGTCAATGTCTAGGGCGTACACTTCCAACGGCGGACGTCAACAAAAAGACGCTCATCACGACGGACTTCATCCTCTTTGGGGCCATGTTGTAGGCGTATTCGAGAGAAGTAATCGAAGCAAATATTTCCGCAATAGCGATGAGAACCTGGAAAGCATTTAGTCAATGAGAATTTGGAGAAGTCCGTGAGTATTCACGTAGCACGGTACTTGCATCCAGATGCTGATAGTACTTGGTTGAGCACAGGAGCCTACGAACTCTCCACATGGATTCGTGTGATAAATCCTGTATTGAAGAATGGCACTATAAACCATAGCGAGTGAAGCAAACATGAACCCAAGCCAGATTCTAAAAATTGGCTGCAGTACAATGCCAGCTCTGCGTAAGCTGGGATATACAGCGATGTCCATGAAAGGGATAAGAATGATAAGCGCAAGGGGATTAAAATTCCCTAGAAGATCGTTCGGAGTTCCCTGCATTGTCATCGTCGCACCCATCGAGATCAGATTCGTTGCAAGTTGGTTATACGAGATCCAGAACAGCGGTAAAAAGAGTGCTATTTGGCATGCAGTCGCAGTGCTCTTCACTTCGTCGACAAAGGCATCGTCCCATGTAATCAATATCGGATGTGCCTTATCAATATCTGCATCCTCGGAAGCCAGGAAGCTTGGTTTTGCCTTGTCCCAGACACTAAAGTTTCTTGACTGCGTTCGAGTGAGCCAACGAGGAACTGGATAAAGTAATAAAGGAGCTTACCCGCCGGAGTAATCTGGACGGACCCGATAGAAACCCTCTAAGTGCTATTCTAACCACTCTAAAGACGTCCAGCAGTACACTGCCTTGCGGCGGTACTTTGTAATAAAGCCTGGATCCTGATGCAAGTACACATGGCGTAATCAGGAAAATGCAGGTCGGCAACGCGAATGCGGCCCAAAAACCGACGCGCCTCTCCAGCTGCGTAGTGACAATGGAGAACAGTGAACCGACATTTATACACCAATAGAAAAGATTGTACATCCGCGAAATTGTTACCGTCGGGTCGACAACGACGCGTTCCCCTGAATCTGTTATGCGTAAAAATGAGCTGGTTCTTCGATATTGATCAGCAACTAATGGTGAGATGTTCGCTGACCATAAATGAGCAATGAGTCAAGAGAAAACGAGGGAATCGCAGCTTACCCTTAATGCCTCCTGTACCTAAAGCGAGTATAAATGCACCGACGAGCCATCCTGGCAATCCCAAGCCGGCTTTCAGAGAAGAAGGAAAAGACGTAATTGTAATTGTCAATAGGCCAAGGAAGTATATTACACAGAAGACTGTGATAGTTTTATATCGTCCCCATTTTGTATCCGCTATTATAGCACCAAATAGAGGAAAGATGTACGCGAAAGTGGTAAATGTTTGTTGAAGTCCGGAAGCTGCTGATTGTCCAAGATTTAGAGCGCCTGCGGGAGCTGGATCGTTAACGGAGGCTGGAGCGCCTGTACCTTTCCCTCCTGGAGGAAGAGGGTTCTGGAGATAATTTTGGAAGACGCCAGCCAGACCGTAGAATGCCATTCGTTCGCACAACTCGACAATAACGACGATAAATGCCGACAATGGTATGTCATCCGAGATCTTTCGTAAAGTCTCGTTGTCTTCCTGGCTGGGATACTCGATTGACGAAGTGTCTTCTAAGTCATCTTTTACTTCATGTTCTCCCGCACTTCTACGACGATAAAACGGTTCTGCTTCAATCGTTGGACCAATAGTGGTGGTATGCGTCACAGGTTCTGTGTTTGCAAGCGGAATATAATCAACGGTAGGCTGCTCATCCCTGGCGCTGGTCAACCAACGTCTAGCATTTCGAAAGGCATCACGCATAAGCATAGTTCTACCTAGCTACTCACAACATGCCAGTGAGAAATGGACTATTTTTTTATACGATTGTGATATACTTGCCTCGTCTTTCGCGCCGTATCGGCAAAGAATATCCAGACAGCAAATGAGCCTAGACTTTCAGAAAGAGGCATACAGCATAGGTAGCGATACAACCGTGACAGTCTGATTGTGGCCAGCACAGTAATATAGATAAGCACTTAGCAAAGTGTCACTGTCAGTGTGTAGTACGTTGGCAAGAAGGAGACTGTCACGTGCACAGGCCGTTCTTGATGACCCGCACGCTTTCATCACACCACCCTCATCCAACACCACCATCAAGCACACTTCGTCAGCGTATACTGCTCATAGACTAGAACACAATGAGTTATGCAGGCTATAGAGAGTCATACTCTGCGAATGGTTTCAGCAGTGGCTATGGCGGTAACTACGGAGGCGGCTACGGTGGAGGATATGATAAGCAGAGCAGCCTTGGGAGTCATCTCCACAGCATAGACTGGGGCCATCAGCAACTCACGAAGTTCGAGAAGAATTTCTACGTTGAGGATGAACGTGTTTCTGCTCGCAGTGACAGGGATGTGCAAGAATTCCGAAGAGAGAAACAAGTCATTGTCCGTTATCGTGTTTATTCTCATCCGCATGTATTGACCATTTCGAACAAAGGTCTCTGGGCGGAACGTACCAAAACCGATCTTCTCATTTGAGGAAGCGGGGTTTCCGGAGTATCTCATGAGTACAATTAGAGCACAGGGCTTCCCATCGCCAACTCCGATTCAATGTCAAGCCTGGCCAATGGCCTTGAGTGGCAGAGATATGGTCGGCATAGCGCAGACTGGTATGTTTCATCTCAGCAGGCCATTAACGCGCTAATGTATTTATTACAGGAAGTGGGAAGACTATTGCCTTTGCACTTCCCGCCATTCTGCATATCAATGCGTCAGTAACTCTGTGTCTAGTTTCTGAAGCTGTCTAATAGAGTACTCAGGCAACCTCTTTTGGCACCCGGTGATGGACCAATTGCATTGGTGCTTGCTCCTACTCGGGAGTTGGCAGTCCAAATCCAGCAGGAATGCGCGAAATTTGGCTCCAACTCGCGTATCCGCAATATTGCTGTCTACGGTGGTGCACCCAAGGGTCCTCAAATTAGAGATCTCCAACGTGGTGTTGAAATCGTCATTGCAACTCCTGGTCGACTTATCGACATGCTGGAGAGTGGCAAAACGAATCTGCGTCGTGTAACGTATCTGGTCATGGATGAGGCTGATCGTATGCTCGACATGGGTTTTGAGCCTCAAATCCGTAAAATTGTCAGTCAGATAAGGCCTGACAGACAAACGTTGATGTTTAGTGCGACATGGCCAAAAGATGTTCAGAAGCTTGCTAATGTATGCAGTTTACCTCATGTTATTATTCTTGAATCTGACATAAATGTTATAGGACTTCCTCCACGACTTCATTCAAGTCAATATAGGATCTATGGAGCTAACTGCCAACCATAGTATTCGCCAAATCATCGTAGTTTGCACTGACTTCGAGAAACGAGCGAAACTTATCGATCATTTAGAGCGCATCAGCACGGAGAACGCGAAAGTTCTTATCTTTGTGGGAACAAAACGGGTGGCAGACGATATTACTAAGTATCTGCGCCAAGATGGCTGGCCTGCATTAGCCATTCACGGGGACAAAGAACAGCGTGAACGCGACTGGGTACTGGGAGAGTTTAGAGCAGGACGGTCTCCAATCCTTATTGCCACAGATGTGGCATCACGTGGTCTCGGTGCGTACATTAATCTATTTTTCTGGAGCTCGTGGTAGGCGAGTTGCATACAGTGGCAAGCAATGAGGGCATGGCCCTCTTGCATCTACTAACACTTTTAGCGAAGCCACTGTATATCTGGATGCAGCTCCTGCAACTTCACTCACCGTGAAATGCAGGCTTGTGCTGTTCTCCAGTTCCTAGGGTACGTCTTCGGCTGCAGGTCGGGTGTCTGCATTCGATGTCCTGTGATGTCTGTCTGCTGTATCTTGCATCCCTCTGGCCACGTGGACGGGCATGATACATTGTACTTCTTCATGTCTGTCTGAACGCATCTCGAGAACACTTGGCATGTTCTTGTCATGCGCTTGGTTATGGACTGTAAGCTCAATAGCTGGACTCTGAAAATCATCACCTGTAAATGGACTTCAATGTACGCTTTACCTGTCTGTAGCCTGCAAGCCGTATTATGGCCTCTTGTGGTAGTTCTTACTGTAGAGGTCTTAACAGCCTAGGACTCGCATTACCTATGAAGCTCCCATGTTTGCTTGAGACTGGCTCATCTTACTCCTTCATGTGCTTCTCCGTGTCTTGATCGCAGATGTCAAGGACGTTGGATACGTTATCGTAAATGCTTTACAGTCGCATATTTTATTGGTTGCTCATCTATTCTCGGGAACAGAATTACGATTTCCCCAACAATCTGGAAGATTACGTCCATCGTATTGGCCGTACAGGAGTAATTACACTTGGCATGATATTTAACGACTCTATCTTAATATTCTATAATAGCGTGCTGGAATGGAAGGAACAGCATATACCTATTTCACGACTGAGAACGCTCGATCTGCTCGCGAACTCGTTACCATACTTCGAGAGGCGAAAGCCGATGTTCCGTACGAGCTCGAGGAAATGGCCCGTATTAGTGGTGGTGGCGGTGGTCGAGGTTCGTTTACCGTCCATTGATTAAAATCCCTGAACTTATCTTGTTTCGTTTGAGCAGGTCGTGGGGCTCCGAGAGGACGGGGCGGAGGTGGAAGTCGTTTTGGAGGCGGTAATGCTAGGGGAGGCTACAGTGACCGCTGGTAGACTTTCTTCAGAAACTAGACGGCAGAGATTCCGGTCATCAAACTCTGATACGCATGTAGTACCGTGAGATGTAGAACTTTATTTCATGTTTGATTTACTCTGGTGTATTTCGCTGTCTCATCCATTGGGCATGGAACACGCTTTTCAGGCTCGTTAATATTTTTTTCCAAAGTACACGCATGTTCACTGTCGTCTCGCTTGCTACGATTTGTTTTGCAGCGTGATGCTGCGATGCAAGGCACTTTCGCGAGCTACAGGGATGATGAATGAAGTTTCTGATTAGCGACTGGTCTTGAGAAAACGATTCGGTTAGGAGGGACAGCTATTTGCTGGAGGTATTCGATGTCCGTGGTATTGTTTTTCAGATTTGAACAAGTGAGCGTACAAGATAAAATACAGCTTTTCTCTCAATGAAGGTTACGTTGCTTGGATGGCGCCATTACTGGAAAGGGTTAAGCCGCATATATGTCAAATCAATGTCAAAGTGTTCATCGTTGGCGTCCACAGCATCCACTTGCTCCCATACACATACTTCCGTCTTCTATGCCCCAATTCTAAGCAAGTCTCCAGGCGATCACAGGACGATCTCGTTTCCAAGTTACAAGTGATTTTCAGCAACCGCGGCTTTCCGATTGTACAAGCGAACTGAGGTACCTTGAACAAGAGTCGGAGCCGTGCTTGAGAGTCTTTGTACACAGCATGCTATGTTCACCGCGATGAGATGAGAGCTGTGCGGCGCATGAGTTCCTTGACGACCGAGTAACATTTCTGACGAGTTTGAATTGATGTCCATTGCCTTTTTGGTGTTTGATAATGATCGGCATGAAGCGATGGCTTGTTGGTCCCACTGTTTATTGGCCAACTGCCATCTTTGACACGACGCTCAACTCACACTTCATCATGCCCCTCTCGCATCATCAGGATCATCATGACTTTCAAGTAATTGAACTTGTGGATTTGCTGGCAGAACTTCTCACGACATGCTATCCTACTCGCCGAAACGCCGTTTGACCATCGCTCATCATTGGCGTCTGGATCAAATAGATTACTCTGAGGCCGCTCACTGGCAGAACTGTTACAAATTTAGATTCAATCAAATGTATAATATCCGTCAATCAAGATATGGAGGCTCCTCTGGATAGAAGATGGATGAGACGCGCAGGCACTGATGCGAAGTCTCGGCGGCGTTTGAACTTAACGTACTGTCGACATCAACAAGGCAGTATACTATATAATGCTCGTGCCGTTCCAGGACCTAATACTAGGTCTGAGCACCCTGACTTTGATCCCCTGTCTTTCTTTCTTTCTGCTTAGTTGAGGCCATGGCTCCTCTCTTGCGCTTTGAAACAGCTGAGCGCGGGTTCGTTCGCAACGTCGTTGAGCGACACTCGCCTCAGGCAGGCTTATTCACAGATAGGTTTGTTGAGTCGGAAGCAATTCACAACGCTTTCGCTCCTGTTATGCTTGAGAGACGCGATACCATCAACAGTCCCTCTGGTGAGCCGGTAGTCAGCACTCCGCCGCTAACTGCCTCCGCCAAGGCGCTCGCCGGGATTATTGTTTTCCTCGGTATTGTCGTGTTAGGTGAGGCAACATCTGTCAATCATGTGAATTATTAGACTAAATATTTTATTACAGCTGTGGCCGCACTTCGAGTGAGGAAGTTTATGCGGAATCGAAGGGCCAGGGGATTTACGTCCCCGAGGCTCAAGTCACTCGGTCTCTGCGAGTCATCATTCCCAGAAAAGGTCATCTCTGAGAGGAGAAATCCAATGTTCACCAAGACTCTCCTCGATCTCGGTTACGACGGTCTTCAACCTCCTTCGAAGGTATGGAGTCAACCCGAGAAATCGAAAGTGGTCTATTCCGACTCAGAAGCGCAGTACGTGGGGTGGGTTCCTCAGATCACGACGTGGCCAAAAGATACGAAGGGCGAGCCGAGTCCTGATCTCATTCCTCGACCGTACCCCTTGCCACCTGCTCCTGCAGCAGCGAGGTCATCACGCTTCTCTCGTCTTACGGCGATTTTCACACGTTCGCCCAAGCCGTCGCTTGTATCCTTCGATGTTGCTCCGCCTTACTCGTCGACAGCACCGACCCCAAGGAGTATGACTCCTGTCAATGTTCCTAGTCCGTTGAGTTCGGCTGAAACCTCGAGTCCAAAGCCTGCTTCGAGTCCTGCTTCGGTGGAAAGCAATAGTTCAACGAAGAAGAAGCTCCCACCTCCACCCATTCGTCTGCCTCGAGTGCCCGTACCAGCATATTCCAACCGTCCTGTGTCTACCATCACCGCCTTGGACTCTGATACGCCTGATGTGGTCATAGTTAGTGCATCGTCAGACAGTGCAGTAGAAATGACCGACGTCAAGAGTCCCTCGCGGCTAGACTCTGCGCCCCCTGCAAATCTACGTGCCCCAGATGTGGATGACAAATTGCTTCATGTACCAGTGTCCTCAAGACCGAGTAGTAAAAGGACTTCCTCGTCAAGCACAGCAGGCCCTGGTCGTGAAAGCGAGGGAAAGGACGGACTGTCGGGGAAGAAGCTACCTCGTCTAGTCATTGCGGTCAGTACCTTCACCCCGAACATGCAGGACGAGCTTCACATACGAGTGGGCGAGGTCCTTCGGTTGACCCAGGAGTTCCAGGATGGTTGGTGCTCTGTGGAACGCATCGGAACCGATGCAGAACAGGGCGTCGTACCGCGATTCTGTATCACCGAGCGGGCGTCATTTGTCCCCGATCCTGTGAAGACACTGTCCCTCACTAACGGCGCTCGACTTGCATTCACTGGCTCGACGACTTACAGTCAAAGTACGAAAGCATCAACTCCACGTTCGAGTGGAGTGCCATGTCCTCCAAACCTATCACTGCTCTCTTTCTTGTCATCCACGGTTTATTTTCATGACTAGGACGTCCTACCCACTCCCTCCATTTAATGACATCCCGTTCCTTGCTTTCGATTTCCCCTGTGTCTTATTTCTCCTTTGCTGTAATACTTTCTTTATTCTCAACTCTCAAGCTAACTTATTCTTATTTACCGCACCGCACGTCCTTGCCATCTGCCCAAGCTATTCATGATTCACTCAATCACCTAATATCCTTATGAAAAGCTCACAGCCAGCGGCTGCGATGTCTGCGTGCGGTAAATATTCTCCCGCAGTGCGGTGCGCTGCCCGTTTTAACTTAAATGCTGTGACATCCACCCTCGGTATTACTCGGAGACTTCGTCGAGTTCTTTAACACCATGGACACTCTTTTGAACTATTTATTGTGTAGAAGATGTAGTGTATGCGTTTGTATATCGAGTACTCTGTTTTGAGTACGGTTGAAATTGAGAAGACGGAGTGTATCGTTGTGAATATTTGGTTTGTGAGACCGAGCATTGTACGTAGCGGCACAGACTAAAGCGTGATCGGCATATCCTTTCGCTATTATAGTTGTGTTGAGTGCTGCGTATAACTTCTGAAATTGAAACATGGATAAACATGTTATGAGTGTGACTGTTTGAGTGGCGATTTCATTCGTTTTCCACAATGAAGCACGTAAATATTGTTGCAAGTGGTGATATAATAATGCAAAAAGGAGTAAAGGAACAGCAACAGTTCAAAGACTTTCCTCCTCGAGCCACTTAGCCTTCCGCTTGTAACGAGCTTGATCACGCAACCATTGACGATACTGGCGGAGGGAGCCAATTTTTTCTCCTATAAACGCGGAAAACGGAGTTTAGTCACATATTTAGGTCGAAAAGATAATACGACGCACCATAAAAGTCGGGTACGGGATTTGTAGCACTCTGCGCGGTTGGGTCAACCCGGTTCTTCACAATGTGCTGATGAAATTGACGGTCGCGCGCTTCTATGAGCGCTAGAGATCGCCGATGTGTCAGACGCCAGACTGTGGAGCCAATGATGGGACCAAACAGATAACCAATGCCTTCAATGAAGCCATGAGCTATCAAGTGTAATGATGATCAAAGGGCTGAACAAACCTCCGCACGACAAAGTGGCAAATCCGTACACGTACAATGGGTCAAAGCCCTTCGTGAGTAGAACAGGTAAGGTTTTAGGCCAAATGCTGCGAGAAGTGAAGGAAACTCACAAAAATAGGCTTTGACGCGTCGATTTCTTGTCCTCCGAAATAAGCTGCGCCTGCGCCTAATCCGAGAAAAATGCTCGGAAGCGTAGCAGCCTAGTTCACGTTTGTCACAAGGCGTACGTCATCAGCTTCAGAAAGATCTCAAGGGCGTATCGAGCTTGCTCACAATCTCCCATCTGCGCTTGCGTCCTCGAATTTCAAGGTACTCCTGCCAGCTGAGCGTGTTCTTCTCCAGAGTTGAATTGGACTGCTTGGCTTGCGACGAATTGCATCTCCTTGAAACCGTATTGCGGGATTTACATGATGCGCGAATGGTTCTAGACGCAGGAGGGGCAAATAACTTGCGAGGAGATGAAAACGGCATTCTGAGCGAAAGTTGTCGAACGAGCAACTCACTGTTACTCAGTAGGCAGTGCAGCGTTTGCAAGTCAATTCTGGATCACGTGCCGCCACTTGAGATCAAATGCACGTGAGAACCCTTGGATGAGCGCTAACTTTCAATTACGCTCCCTCCTGTTCTGGTGGCCCCCACTGGATAGTGTCAGTACTCGATGCTGTCAGTAGCAGAGACTCAAGCAGATCTACAGCACCTGCCTGACAGTCCGGTCTCAAGGAACTTTATTACATGTAGAACTTGCTGCACAGCTTGCTCAAATGAGCGCCGGGGAACTCGCTTAGTCCAAGGCTCTTCATTGACGCTGTCTGATCATTTCCTCTGTGCTGGAACTCTAGTATTTCGACTCATATCAGGTGCACCACCATGCATGCATCAGCATGCTGACGACGGCTTCCATGCTGTTCAGAACACGCATTTCCTTGCCCCATATGTAGATCCACAGGACCACAAGCTGCTTGTCGCTCTCTCCTTCCTGCTGCAACACAGGTTTGCAATGATCACGTACTTACCAACGCCCTCAAACAAGGGGATCATCCTGAGGATCTACTTAATTCCATATGACTTACCAGGGACCAAGGGCGCTCTTCGTGTGCGAGATGAAGATAAAGTCATGAAGCCCGCGCGAACATGTCTCAGAATCGTCCTTTCTCGGGTCAGCAAACGGCGGTCACTATGGTCTGGTGAATCCGAATACTACGACCTCCCTTCGGAAGAGGAATGTTTTCTTCTGCCAAGTCAAGTAGGTTGTTAATATCCGTCAGTTATACTCCAAATTTATACCGTTGTTCGGAAGAACTACCGTTCCCTTCAGCAAATCTTTAACGACCTAACGACAACGCCTGTAGACAACGGCATTCCAGACTTGCCTAAATTGCGGACATCCTTGTACGAATATCAAAAAGAAAGTGTCGCCAAGATGCTGGAGATGGAAGCCCAGAATAGGATAGCTGATGATCCGCTGTACATCCCGATTACTGGAACAAACGACAGTGTATTCTATTTTCAGCCTACGACAATGGAGTTACTTCTTCAATGCCCTCGTTCTTTCCAGGCACGAGGAGGTATTTTGTGTGAAGAATTAGGTCAGTTCTCCCTTATACTCTGTTTACGTTGTCGTATACTTAGTGGCTATACAGGGACGGGAAAGACGGTCATGATACTTGCACTTATCCTTGCAACATTGAACGTGCTTTCGGAGCCACCGGAGCATAGCGACATGATGACAATGACTCCGCTTGCTCTTAGACATTTTCCAGGCCGGTCCTATGACGAGCTTCGGAAGCTAGCTATGGAGACGCGAAAGCAACAAAGACCAGATCAGAATGACAGGCAGAAGTCAACACCGAGTCTTGTTGAAATTGTCGGCCATTATGCCAGGGCCAACCTCTCACCAGTTCATTTTCATGCTATTGAAGACACACCGCTGTGGAGTCACATCAGGAAAAATACACCATTTTTCCTTGAAGTTGATCGCGATAATTCCAGGAAGTCGTCTGCGAGGCAAAAGAAAACCAGGCCACCCAGACTTTTCTATTTGACCAACGCTACACTGATTGTCGTCCCCGTCGCACTGCAGATGCAATGGTACTCTGAAATTCTCAAGCACTGCTCGAGCTCTGTACGCACGCTTGTTGCGAAGTCTAGGAAAGACATTCCACCTCCACTGACGCTGGCGTCGGATTATGATGTATGTATTCAACCTTCCCTCGCATGCACGATTACTCATGCACTGGTAATAGATTGTTCTAACTACTTACAATCGTTGGTATTTGTATTTTACTCTCCAACACGTTTCGCTAACCATCGCCGCAGTGATGAGCTTTGAAGCTGCTGTCATCAAAGACCCGTCCGTATTGCACTCTGGGTATACTTGCAATTGCCCAGAGTTCTCGTCTGTCCGCGTACCGGATTGTACTTGTCCGGTGCCGGAGAACGTATCATCACTGCTGCAAGTACGCTGGAAACGGATAGTGCGCGATGAAGGACATAACGCAGCTTCAAGAAGTACAGAGTTGAATTGGTTCCTTCGGATGCTAAGTGCGGAGAGAAAGTGGATCGTTACAGGGACGCCTACGACGAATTTGCTAGGCCTGAACTTCGGCTCGAACGGTGATGATGAGAGTGGAAACGAAAGTTCCGATCGAGAAGAAACCCCCTCAGCACTACCGCTTATCTACAGCTTAAACGATGCTATGCCTGAAGAGGGAGTGTCGGGAGGAGCGGAAGACGAATTACTAGACGGCATGGAAGAGTCCCAGGATCCGGTACGTGTCTGGAGCAAAACAGATCGAGTCGACCTTCGCAAGCTGGGTTCAGTGTTGTCTGATTTCCTTGGTGTACTTCCATTCGCTGTACAAGCAGAGTCGTTTTCAAACCTAGTCGTTAATGGATTAATGGGCACGGACGGGCCTCTTCCCGGGACCCCGCGCGTGCTTGAGCAAGTGATGGCGGCGAATATGGTGAGGCATCGTGTCTCGGACATTGAGCGATTCGTCAGGCTTCCGCCACTCAAGGAGGAGGTCGTTATGTTGGATTTGGAGGAATATGGGCAAATGACTTATAATGTTTTACTTTCGTTTGTCGCGGTCAACGCCGTAGATTCTGAAAGAAGAGATATGGTAAGAGCTCGTTGTCCGTGCTGCTGTTCCTTTGTTCATAATGTCTGTAACATAGGACTACCTGTTCCATTCTTCCGTAAGTAGTGAGCTGAATTCTTGCTGCTGGAAAGTAGTTTACTCCTGTGCATCTAGAAAACCTCAGTCCTGGCATCTACCATAGAGAACTTGTCACAGTGCGTATCTTTCTACAATCCAAAGCTTGAGAATGCTCAAACAGAGGCATCTCGCAGCTCTCTATTCTGGCGATTTGACGAGAACGCGTTGGACTACGACCTGTCCGAAAACATCCATCGTGCCGAAAATGCTATAATTCATGCGCGCGAACGAGGACAATCAGAAGAAGACATTCATCTGGTCGAAAGAGCTATAGCACATCTGTCAGTAATGTGGAACAATTTTTACTCATGTTCCTTTCTAACGTGAAAGGGAATTAGGCAAAAAGCGCTTGAAAACAGACAGTTCCGAGATATGCAGCATGGTCTTGAAGTGCCCTATCGCATTTATAATGCGTCACTACGCATAAAACAGACTTGGGGCCTCGTGCATGACCCACCCTATGCACTTGACGAATCTGTTCCATTCCTCGCCTTCCCATCATATGCACTGGAATTACGAGACTCAGTTTTGCGACAGCCGCTCATAAATGAGGACTCTCTTGTTACACGAGCGGAGCTCGTCCGTGCGAGAAACAGAGCATTGGCTGCTTTCGTTGAGGCACGCAAGTCGAGGGCGGATAAGCGATCGGATGCTAAAAGTTCTTCGGAGAAGCGACGGAGACGTGAAGAGGCCGAAGTTGATCGCGCAATACTGGTTAAAGCTCGGCAGACTTCGACTGTGGACTCAAAGGAAAAGTTGGAAGAATTGCACGAAGAATTTAGGAAGGCTCAGGAGAGGCTGAAGGCCGAGGCTATGGATGAGGAGGACTTTGAAGAAGATGGACCTTCTTCACTACTTGACTCATCTCCTTCGCGAAAGTCTGAGACGAATGGACTCTTAACGGGCTGCGAGAAGCTATTGCGTGGATCGCCGTTTGTGCAACTAAGAGTCGGGAACTCTACATCCTCGAAGCTGAATTATATTTTTGAAGAGGTAATGTACTTTGCTGTATCATCATACACACTCGTCTTTATCTATGACTTTAGGTCCGCAAATATTCTGCGACCGAGAAGTTCCTCATCTTCTCAAGCCAACCATTCAACCTTGTGCATATATCTGAAGGTTTGGACTTGATGGGCATTAAATACCTTCATTTCATGCAGGAAGCGTCCAAATCCAAAGGGAGAGGATCACAACGCGACCAATTGCTTACGACGTTTGAGACGTCTGAGAGGTACAGAGTATTTCTCATGGAACTTAAGTATGGTGCACGAGGCTTGTAGGTGGTTTCATAAAATGATGAGGCTTGAGCTGAGAACCGACGTAGGAACATCGTCTCTGCATCTCGTGTTATTTTCTGTGAGCCTGTTTGGCACGCTGATGTAGAAAGCCAAGCTATTAAGGTCGGTTCCTTTCGTTAACTGAATCTGTATTACAAAGCGATAATTGACCCGATTCCCTCAGCGAGTCCATCGGATTGGACAAACACGTCCGGTCACTGGTGAGATTCGTTTATGATGCAATTTATCAATTCCGCTCAAGTCACATTAATAGTGAAAACGTTGGCCATTCGGTCAACATTTGAGGAGTACATGGCCAACCGTCGACGGAACTTGAAGGGTGCTGGGAGCAAGGGTCCAGGCATGGCTGAGGAGAATGGTGTTTGCAGTTACCTGAAGGTGATTACTATTTGTTTGGCACGTCTGGTCGTGCATTGAATTACTGTATGCAGAATCCCATATTTCTCGAGATGCCGTCGCAAAACACAGCGAACCTCGATTTTCCGCTTGTGCAAGTTCCGGACCGTGATGCGTCGGGTCAGGCGGACGAGACGAAAGCGGTTGAAACGACGGGCGAGGAGCAGGCGGCGCTTGGTCAAATGGGGAATGGTTCGGTTGTTTTTGGAGGAGGAATGGACGTCGATCAGGATGAAGAGGTTGTGGTGCGTTCACCAAAATGCAGAAAAGTACACTTTGGGTAGGAGAGTGGTTACCAGGGAACATGTGTGTTTTTCTCTTGGGTGTGTATGTAGGATTGTTGTTGCTGTATTCATTAAAGCAAGGCACCGAGGTGGTCATTGAGTGCATTTTATTCACTCTTCCCTGCAAGTGAGAGGAACAAAAAGGGTAAGGATGGCAACGATCTGTCAGCCAAATAATGTGGGAACAAATAGCCGAATACTCGCGTCGGTTTGCCGCCCTTGCGCCTCATCCTCTTCTCCTTCCTTTCGCACCGTCCGCTCTCATCGTCCCCCCTCCTAGCATATCCTTAACGCTATCCGCCACCCATCGCCGACGCTGCAATCCATTGCGCATCGGCATTCCGCTCTTTTCTCTCCTTCACGCTCGTTATCTAATTGCTTTTCAGCGTCACTCTCCCTTTCGACCTTGTATCTTTTGCCGAGGTCTTTTCTAGTCGAGAAAATCAACAACAATTTTGCTAGCCCTTTGCCAGAACACATACGACAATATGCACGACTTTCAGAGACGCGTGCACCATCAGGTTTTCAACCGTCAGGCCGCGGATGACCCGGATGCTGTCGGACCAGCGAAGAGGCCGCCAAAGCAGACCGACACCGCTACGAAAGCACCTCCAGTCACAAAACCAACTACAGCTGCGCCCGCCACCTCTGCTGCACCAACCGCGAAGACGCCACCAGCGGCTACACCCGTTACCACTCCCACTGTGCCGACGCCGATAATCGATATCTCGTCAGTTGTTGGCGTTACAAGCGTGCTCCCGAAGGTGCCAACTTTGACTACCTCCTCGAGTACGACTACGACAAGCTCATCGACCTCGTCATCTTCGTCGACGAAACCGGCTACGACATCCACTCCTGCGCGTAATCTAGTTACCGAAACTGCTACTCTTACTTCTAGTGGAACTGCAGCAAGCAGCACTTCGTCTGACAAGCCGACAACCAGTGGAGGTCTGAGCGGTGCTGCAACAGGTGGTATCATTGCCGGTTGTGTCCTCGCTGGTCTTGCACTGCTTATTTTCGTGGTGCGCAAGACGTTTATTCGACGACGCCAGCGCAAGCGCAACACGTGGGGTGCGGGCATTTATCCGGACATTAACGAGAAGTTTTCCGATGGAGCTTCTATCAGAGATGTGCCGCCGCCCATACCAGAGAAGCTCACGACTTCTCCAACGTACCTGCAGCCTCGTACTCCGGTGTGGGCACCGCCGCGCCCCGTCTCACCTAGTGCTCCAAGCCCAGGCCCATATTATGTCCAGCCACCTCAGGCGAGCTACAATAATCCGATGATGGAAGCCGCTCCGTCAGTTGCACCTGTCGCCGCCGCCGCCGGGATGGCTGGTGCTGGTGCTGGTGCTGGTGCTGTAAGCTCATTTGGCGGACATACTACCTCTGGAGAGACGGCGATAGTGCGCGTATTGTACATCCCAACACTTCCAGACGAACTGTCAGTTACCACGGGTGAAGTCATTCAGATTGTCAAAGCCTATGATGACGGCTGGGCGCTTTGTGCGAACGCGAGGGGCGAGCAGGGTGTTGTACCTCTTGAATGCTTGGACCGAAGCTCGCAGGGTCAAGGAGATAGGCTTTCCGTCGGGTACGGACAGCAAGGCAACGGCAATGACTGGCGCAACATGAAACGGATCAGTAGCTTGTCCACTGAACAACCCCGTTATTAAGGTATGTTTACGTCTACAGAAGTTCTTGGAGAGAGATACGAATTGACTTCGTTTATCGCCAGCGCCCAATCTCATTTGCTGCAATATTTATCGCTTTTATACCCTTCTTGGAACCCGATTTGGCTGCTTTTTGCGAGGTTGCTTTCCTTTTGCCTTTTGAAGAGAAGAGTATTCGGGAGAGCGTTACGTGTTTGCGAATTTCTTCTACGTTCTTCTGCATGTGTGGACATATATTTTTGCAATTTATCCTTATGCCTCATACCCGCTTGCTCATGCCGTGCTTCGTGCCTTTACTATTCCTTTTGCTTTTTCCTCGCTGAGCAGCAGTTTGATTGGTTGCTTTTGTATCGATTTTATTAGTGGTTCGAGTAACGTAGCCATCAGTTGCATTTGCACGAAATCAGATGTAGTTGCGAAGTGCGAATATTTGACTTTGATTTGATGATGGGAGAGGTACAATTGGAGAACAAGTCCGCATCCAATAATCTCCGCGCGAGTTCCTTGGTCGCTATGCTGGCTTGGCGTAGACGACGACGGCCAATCAGCCGCAGGAGAGCAACCTATTCTGTATACAAGGCTATTGGTCCGTCCGCGGGGGCGTGTAAGCAACACAACACTGAACAGGCCGTGCCGGCAGTAAACGACGTGAAACTTGGCATGGCGACCACTCGCCACTCCGCATCACCTCTAGTTCCTCCCGTCCCCTAGTCTCTGCAGCAAAACAACATCTTCCCTTTGTCTTTTATTCTCGACGCTCGTCTTGCGCCTTTTAATCTCGACTCTCTTTATCTCAATCGAGTATCACCTTGCTCAATCACACATGATGAGGTCTTCAGACGAAGGCTTCATTGATGGCGACGATGTTGTCGCAACTGGTCCCGCAGTCGCAGTTGACCAGCTGCCACTGCAAGCTCGTGAAGGTGAGCCCGTCACACGATGCGGGGGATGTTCAACTCCATTGATAGCTGCTGTTCGCATTTCATGAAAAAACAAAAGAGCTTGTATATAAATTACTTGCTAGTTTACCGCGTGCTCAGATTGCGCGAGTGCATCGGCGGATTGCACCGTCGGTCCAAGTCGACATTGTCGGGGTGAGTGCCACTTGCAAATTAACTTTTTTTTTCGAACATACTGACGTGTAATATGATACTGTATTGAAGACTCTTCCATCGGAATTGGCGTTACATGTGTTTTCCTTTTTGCCTTGGCAGGAATTGCTAATCGCTGCACTCGTAAGTCGGCGATGGCGCACTCTTGCAGATGACAACTCGCTGTGGAAGCGTCTTTGTGCACAACGCGGATGGGTATGGCGTTGGCCTCGGATTCCGCATGACCCGGTGCCACTTTTTGCTACCAGCTCTGGTGAACGCGACGAGGAGTTTCACGATGAAGGTGTCGGTGACGATGAGGACTCCGACGGCTCCGACCATGGTAACTCGACGGGGCATTCTCAGACGGTTGTGTATCACGGACAGCACCATCCGTATGCTTTCGGGCTTCCTGCCACACCCCGGATAAACCCTCCAGCGCGTGCTGCAACGTTACGGAAGCCTCGGCGTTCGTCGCCCCCTCCAGTTGTGCCTATCTCACGAAGAAGACCATCCGTGGTTCGCCGCTCTGCACCGTCTGTCCTACCAGCTGCTGAGCCACCACGATCGAATTACAAACTATTGCACCAGACGCACATCCTCCTCAAGAATCGCCTTGTACACGGATCGTTCAGGTTCTCGACTCTGCAGACCCGTGGAACTCCGAATGCACACACGTCGATCATCTACTGTCTGCAGCTATATTCGTACCCTGACGACGCACGCCAGGTACTATTCACTGGTAGCAAGGATCGGTCCGTACGCGAGTGGAATTTAAGCACGGGGAACGTGGAGCGTGTCTTTGAGGGAGCACATAATGGAAGTATACTCAGCTTATGCGTGCATGGAAATTACCTGGCAACTGCGGGTAGCGATTTCTGTGTTTGCGTGTGGGACCTTCGCGATGGGTCCCTTGCGCAGACGATAACGGATCACCATGATAGCGTGCTTTGTGTTCGTTTTAATTCGAGACATCTAGTTTCGTGCTCGAAGGACCGGACTGTTCGCCTGTACCGATTCCAGAATACCTCCAGTGGGAAGAGGACGCCGCCATTGAGCGCGGGCACTATTTTGGGTACTCACCGGGCAGCCGTGAATGCAGTCGCGCTTTCGGGTTCTTTGGTTGTCTCTGCGTCGGGCGACAAATCGATGCGAGTTTGGGACGCTAATACGGGTACACTCTTGCGTACACTGGAGGCGCACCATGCGCGGGGTATAGCCGCAATTGATATCGCTCCGCCTCTTGTGCTCTCTGGCTCATCAGATAAACATATCCGTCTATTTGACGTTGAGAAGCGACGCGGGTGGAGCACGGCGCCTGAATTCCACGATCCGTTACCAACGCGAGGAAGTAGACAAATTTCGGTATGTCAGGCGTGTGGAGGGGCGGTTGGCGATGGCGCTGCAGCGGAGAGACGTTGCGTACAGATTAGGCGTGCGAGTGTCGCTGCGAGTGAGGTGCATACTGATCTTGTGCGGAGTGTTGCACTTGGGCCTGATTTCGTTCTGAGTGGGAGTTATGATCAGTCTATCAAGGTTAGTGCTTTACTCTTAGACTTAATTTAATTTGAGTGAGGTTGAGCTGATTGTGATGATGTATAGGTATGGGACCGTGAGACGGGTGCATTGCTTGCGGATCTGAGTGGTAAACATGAAGGCCGTGTCTTTTGCGTTGGGTTCGACTGTACCAAGATTGTTTCGTGTGGTGAAGACCAGGTATGTACCAGGCACACTTTTTTCTCGTCGCTGTGGTTTTTGATATAGATTGTTTGTTCCTAGAAAATATGCATATGGGACATGTCGTATGGGATTGACACGTCGTTCATTCAGCTCTGACGGATATTTTGTTTATTCGTTCTTCTTCTCCCCCTCTCCTCTCCTTTCTCTTTTTTCTTACTTTTCTCTCTCTTTTTTTCCCTCTCTTTTGTAATTGTTAATCGTGATGAAGGTGTAGGCTATTAATATCGGAAGTGAGATTGTGATTAAGCATGTGTAGATTAGACTTTTCATACATACATTGAAGCATTCATTTGTTCGTTCCATCAAGATATTTTTGTGCTGTACAGGAGTGAGAGATTATGTCTGTGTCGAGGTACTAAATAATGAATTGGACTTGGAAACGTGACACGTCATATGGCGTCAACACGTCCATCAACCAACTCTAGCGGATATTATTATTATTTATTCGTTCCTGTTTCCCCCTCCATCTTTTTTTTCCCGTTTTCCACTATAGTTAATCGTGATGCAGGTGTAGGCTATAAATATCGAAGATTGAGAAAATGTGGATTAGAATTCAGACGTTCATTCATTACGCTGAGATATATTTGTACTGTACAGGGGAGATATGTAGATTGAGTTTAAGTATGTCGAGGAATTGAATTGGAATCTGTTCGGAGGTAAACTAGAAAGCAAAACATGGACCTACATGACTAAACATGGCAACGCTGATCACACGCGAACAAGCGAGCGCCTGAAAGGACAACTTTCTTGAAAGGCAAGACGCCGAGGATAGGGACGCAGGAGAGCGAGCGCTGAGCACCTTACGCGATTCCCACATTCATCTCGCTCTCTAGCGCATACGGCTGGAGGACGACGTAGTGAAAGTCCGCGACGTATCTCTTTGACGACAAGCACGACGCCTTGCCTTGTTATTGTCAGTGTCACGGATGCATTGCGATAGATGGCAGCTCCTCCGCCGTATTGGAAGAAGAAAAGTGAGTCTAGAGGTCGTTTGTTATCACCTCATCCCTGTCCTTCCGCCTTCTGAGGTCTTAAATTTACTGACAATACTCTTTTCTTCTTTTACGACCCGGCTTCCTAACTTGGCTTTTGCACACGTTAACGATGACAATCGTACAACGATGGCGCGGATACAGCTCGCCCATGTCCATTCTATTCACAAGGCCGCTGTCTCTTCTCGGACGCGTGCAATTTCGTGCATAGCGTGAAGGTGAACCCTGAATCAGCTGTTGGACGTGCGGATTCTGGTTCCGGTTCTACTACTACTGGTAACGGTGCTTTGGCTCTTGGGAATGTACTGCGAGATTCAAGACCTACGAGACCGGAGGACGTAGATTACATCAACTATGCTACTTCTAGGAACACTCTCGCCAACGCTGTCAACATGAATGTGGATGAACACGATAGAAATGCTGGCGTAGGTGGTGCGGAGACGAATATTAATGTGGGCTCGCCTAGATCACTTAGCCGAAGCTCGTCGGAGAGGAGACGACGTGTGGTGCTTATGTCTCCGCCGAGGTCGCCTAGGATGTCTGGATTGTTGAGCGCGTTGGAGAGTATTATTGGGCCTGATGTTGAGGAGGTTGAGATTGAGGAGGAGGATGAAGATGAAGATGGGGTGGACGTGTCTGGAGAGCTGAATGTCGAGGAAAGTAGTTTGGTCACAACGGGACAACGGCTCAATAATGGCGAGAATGAGCAGGAAGATACACATAGTGCTACTTCGTCTCCGGATTCTACTTGTCTTCCTTATTGCCGGGACTCGCACACTTCGCCTTCAGATAACCCTCCCGCCGTCTCTTCCGCCGAACAGTCCGCTCCCCCGACGTCCTTCTCCAGTTCGCACACTGGCAAGGAGACTGATTCCGATGAATCAGACCCTCCACATCCTACATCCTTCCGATCACGAGCGCCACCTCCGATCATCACACAGCATCCTGATTTCATTGAAGGCACGACTGCGATACTAGACGATACCAACACTCCCGAAGTCTATACAAGCCACAACCAACAACAACAGCAGCAACAGCAGCCGAATCAACTTCTCCATCACACCGACGATCCATCTCTAACCCCGTCGTGTGGATCATCATCGCGCCGTCATTCCACCTTCGAACTGCTCACTTCCCCGTTTGTCCCTCCGTCGCGTCGGATTCTCTCTCCCCAGTTATTTCCCGTGCGTGATCCGAGTTCTTCCGTTTTCGGTGCATTGCAGCAAGGACAAGGGACGAGTCGTGATGCAAATGACCCGTACGGGAGTGAGGAAGATGAGGAGGATTCTTATGGTGATGTCGATTCGCTTGAGACGCTGGAGTCCTTGACGGAAGAAAGCTTTCGAGCTGGCTCGAGTCGATCTATGTCGCAGGATTCCTTGCTTAAAGAATGTGGATCCGAAGAGAATTCGGGCTCTATTGAAACGGCTGGGACTTCCGTTGAATGTCTGGAGAGTATTGAATCACCTCATGGAACTGAACGGCCTTCGTCTGACTACTTCCGCACACCGAAAAACCATCCCGATATGAATGGTGGTGATACTGCGGTGGACATGGAGCTGGAGAATTTACCCCCGCTACCTCCATCTTTAATTCGGAATAATGATGGAACCGAACGAAGCCCCGCCGCTGTTGAGTTTCTGATAGCTGACAGTCTATCTGCATCTTCCTCTGTTCCTCCGGCGGTGTCCGTCACATTTGAGGATCGTGAGGATTCGCAATTCTTGGAGTCTAAAGTGACAAGTATGGAAGAGATGTCAGCGTCACCACCAGTTATTGACGGAAGCGAAGAACGCCGATCGTCGTCATCTCCAAAGGAAGAGCAAGTGTCGGTCCTGGACGATCTGTTCAGGGAACTTTCCGCATCCCCTGAGCAAAATGAAGATATACAGACGACAGTTGAGGAGGAGAGACCGTCCAACACGGCGCAGTTTGCTCCCATGTTGTTGAACTCTCCTGAACATATCGCTCCTATCAATACCTATCAGACCAAGAGCGACTCTCTTGATTCACCTGGGAGCCTTTCATTTGGGATATCGCCTGTTTCCACTGACAGAAGCCTCTCAAATATCGTCGAAACTCCGGTGGAGGCAGAGGCCGGAGGAAGCAATGTCATGGTACACGAAACTATCTTGGAGCGCCGGACGAAGCATGCGGACGGGAGTCCGAAGCGACTGGCTGTTGTGTCTTTGACATCGCCAACGAAGGAATTACGCGAGTCGTATTTCCCTGCATCTCTCGAGAAGACGGTTCGACCTACACCTTCGCCGTTGTATGACGAGCCACAGAGATCTGCTTCTGACTCGTCGACGTCTTCCGCCGTGTCAAGTCCGCGTCAGTGTTGGGAGGATTTACAGAAGAAGGCTGGTGTTTCGCAGAAAGTTCCTTTTGGTTTCCGACAGTCACTTCTTTTGGTATGTTGTACAGTTCCGATGCAATTTTGGGAGATGTTTATGCTGTTTTTCTCTATTTCCCTGCAGGAGCAAGGAGAACCATCATCATTAGCAAGGAAACTGGCATCCCAATTCGCGCAGGACGGTCCGACTTCCCGCGCAAGCTCAGTGTCAAGCCTGAGTCCAGTTACTACGTTCCATGCACGACCAGCATCTCGCACAGAGTTGATAACAGGTCGTCCGCGATCTGCATCTCCAGCACTTTTCGTGACCGGGTCGTCTTCACATCGACATAGTGTTGCGTCACACTCGAGCTCGGCTCCGTCGATTCAGATTCGGGCATCCGCAAACGTCCCGCACTCGGCTTCTCAGTTGGAGTTCTCTTCGAAACACTCGATGCGGCCTGATTCGCTTACTTCTGTTAGAGGAGGGCCTGTGTCTTCCTCGAATCGACGAGCGTCTTGGATGAAACCTCTTCGTCTGGTAAGTATCAGAATAGAACTGGTGATTGGAGCTTAAGTTGATCCGGTACTGTCTTTGCGATAGTCACACGTATATAGCCACAACAATTCCGATTCACGGCCTTCTTCCTCTCTTTCGCATACCACTCGATTTTCAGCAGGTGAGCTGCATTTGCTGTTTTAAATAGCTGGGGAAATCCGGAACTAAAATCGTGTTTGCAGAATCCATTCATTCATCTCAACCTCATGCTCGAAATGCATCTCAATCACTTGTAGACAATACACTGGTCAGTCTTCATCAATAGCCGTTTCCTATCTCTATCGTGTCTCACCAAATGTTCCACCCTGTAGCTTTCATCTTCTAGGTCTTCTATAATCTCTGCATATCTCAATCATTCATCTATACCCCCTCATGATCAACCCACCATAATTACTAACGCTGGACCTGGCATGCCGTCTATGGAAAACGTCTTATTCTCCACCGAAACTATTAATACTCCTGTGGAAGGAAATGAATCTATGCATCGGCATTCTCAGTCCACAGCAACTACTGATCTGGAGACGACGTCTAACCTTGATCTATTAAGCCCGCTTTCCGGTTCCATGCGAGGTCTCAGCTTCGATGACTTGTCACGATTCCAGTGGCCTGACTCTGGTCAAGATACTAATAATAGTGGTGTTAACGTATCCGTTGATATCCCTCCTACGCAATTGATACCACATGCTTCGCGCCGAGCTAGTTTAATACCCCCAACTGCCACTTTGGCTACCCCTACGAACCCTTCTAACGGCAGTTCTACACTTGCCCCTTGCCATGCCATTGCAACCCCTCGTCCAACGCTCATGTTCGCGATAGCTAGCGACAATCCCGCAGAGGTCGAGCGGGTCCTGGCTAGTGGCGAAGCTCGTACGAACGACACCATAGGACCACAATCTGCACTCGAGTTTGCATTGACGAATGACGCTCTGGTGAATAAAACGGAAATCGTCAAAACATTATTGGCGTTTGGTGCGGATCCTTCAGCGCTCTCAGCTGACCTACGCAACGCATCCGACCAACAAATAAGCGGAAGTGAAGAAGAGAGCGACGTTTTAACCGATCTACCTTCCGATACTCTCAACACTCAAGGGTCATTCAGCAAACGCAGGAAACGAGAAAGCGTTATGAACCCTGCGATGAAATATTATTTGAACCGTGCAGCAGCAAGCCCACAAGCTGCACAAACAAGTGCTGCGTTACGACGTTCGGATTTCCGACCGCTTGCACGCATGCGATTTGATTTCGTTGGGCAGGACCGTGCACTGGAGCATCTGTATTGGGTCCTAGGTATGCATTCTCAGCAGCCGATTGGGACGCCGCTTGTTGTTCTGTGTTGTGGGCCGTGTGGTCATGGGAAGAGTCTTTTGGCGAGGAAATGTACGTCTACTCCCTTACACTCTGTTTTTTCTCTTCGAGATGCTGATTTTTCGTGTGTAAAAAGTTGGCAGTCTGCTTGACGTTCCTACGCATACAGTTAACATGACTGTTTTGAAGACTTCGCATGACCTTTGGCAGTGCCCTTCAATGAGCCCGTACGATGTGAGTAAAGCCAATTATATCAACCTACGTAATTTTTTTTTAATAATATATGCTAGCCGCCTTCGGAACGAACCTTGGCTGAGTTCTTGGAAGCGAATGCGGGGAAGCGTTGTGTTGTTGTACTTGATGTGAGTTGCTTTATTTTTTGACATTTAAGTATTCTTGACTTACAATCGTCCAGGAAATCGACAAGAATGAAGACGAGCGTACCCTTTGGTCTTTGCTCGCCCCCTGGGAACTAGGTCGCTGTTCTATTGACTCAGGGCGTCGACATATCGACGTACGAAACGTCATCTGGCTCGGCACCTCAAACATCGGGCAGGATCGCGTATTTGAACATCAGGCCGCTCGTAGCGAACCCGATTCCGTTATGTCAAAAGCTGAATACCGCGAACTCATGAACGCCCTCCGACCACTCGTCACCGAAAGACTCGGGGTGCGTTTTCCCTCTTTACTTTCACATACAATAAACCAAACTAATCTAACCTTGCGACTATCAAAAATCAGACTTCATTAATGTCCCGCGTAACAGCCGTCCTTCCCTTCGTACCCTTCACACACTCAGAGAAACTCGCTATCGCGTCCGAAGCTGTCCTTTCGCTAGGTGGAGAGTCCGCTTCGGAACTCGCACCTGAGGAGTTTGAGCGCCTTGCGTTGCAGTGCGTTGATGAGTATGTTGAGACGGACGGTGCACGCTCGTTGTATAGGAGCGTGTCTACGCATCTTATGGAGGCGTTTTGAGTTCGTCTTTTTGGTTCGATTTCTTTTTCTTGTATAATCTTGCACAATCTTGCTAGATGCTCGCTATCCCTATCCTTTCCTTCGCCCTTCAACTTGGTTTCAAATTTAACGAAGCATATTGAATTGATTTCAAATGCGGATTTCTTCTTTCTTTCTTTGTTTTCTTGTTTTATTTTTTGCTTAGTCGCATGGTCCTTTCGTTCTTCACACGTGCAGCTATTACTATTTCTTGGTACGAAACACACTATGCCGAGACATTGTAGACACAGACGCAAGTTTCTTCACGTTCCTTGGATGTACACATACAGAGACATATAATAGATCTGAGTCTACGCAGACGAGTGTACTTGGATTCTGCAAGATTGGGAAACACGTTACAGATCAAAGATATCAGAGATTGTCTTCCGAACGAACGCCTCAACACGATCGACATACAACTTAAGATCCTCCTCGGTCGGTTGTAGATCGACTGGAACAGGCTTTGAGATTCTCTTCTTGTACCCGGTGTGTGGCTTTGGTCGTGAGTAAGGGTATGTCAATGCACGAGATGCTTCAGCTTTATCATCCTCGATTATCCACCTGTAACGCAATTCCCGGACAGTATTCAGCTTCAACACTGTGTCCATGCCTAGTCTATCTGCTTCCTCCAATGTTAAGAAATCGGGTTTCGTGGCAAGGTCAAAATAGGCATCTTTAAGCCATCCTGGAAAGCTGTATGACTTTGCAAGTACAATCTTCGATACCGAATCGATAGGTAACTCCTCGAGTTTCTTTGACTGCAAGATCGAATAACCTATGGAAGCCCCAGATGTTGGAAAGGTGCAGAACTGAGGTCCACTCTTCCTGGCTTAGTTCATCTTGTGTTCCATACATACTACAGAACACAGATATTTTATAGCATTTAATAAATATTATTTGCCCAAAACAAGGTGTATCATACTCACGGTTCAAACAGAACTCTCACTAGAGCTTGGAAATCTTTTGCAGCAATCCCTTTCAGAGCAACGGTCTTCTTAGTGCTTGATCCATTAGCAAATTTGTTCTCAGGCAGAACTGCAATCATCTTCATAAACATGTCTGACTTGATCTCGAACGGATGGCAGGGAATGTTAAACAGTTCATGTTCTACCTGTGGTTAGTGTTGTTTTATGTTAGAGACCTTGGAAGGCTAGTCTGTACTTAGGGACTTACATGTCTTGAATATTATGATAGCAAAGTAAAACACAGGATGTCTCCTTGAATTTGGTACAGTTCCTAGTACTAGGTCTTTATCATTGATGAACATAGTGGGAAGTAAGGAGTACTATGTATTGCTATTACAATAATATAAGATATTCTAGATAGGGGTGCATCAAGGAATCAAGAATATTGGCCAATCAGCTTGAAATATAGTTGAGAAGCTGTCTACTACCTCAGAGACTTGCAGAAGTCAATGTAGCACTAGGGAAAAGTTGATACTTTCAATAGTACACATTGGACAGTAGCTAAATGATTGTGATAATAATTTGTGATTACATTTTTAACAAATAAATACTGTGAACAAAAATACTAGCTTAGTAATAGGATCTTTGAGTTGGTCTTGACTCTTCATCTACACATACTAGTATGATTGCAAAGGCAGTTATGCATCTTGTGTATATGAAGAAAGAGTGTATCATTGATTCTACAAGATTAATCAAGGCTGTCACGGTACATAACAATTTCTATGCAACCTAAATAATCCAGTTAACACAGAGTGTACAGCTGCCTCGAGACCTCTATGGTCAACTTTTACATCGTCACAATCCCAATAACTGGACCTTGTCAGTGTCACTTTTGCACCTTTGCTTTTGTAATAAGGTACAGTACAAGTAGGGGTTAGAGAATTGAATCGAGGAGATTTCGCCTCCTCGCCTTCAATAATCCATTTAAAATGGAAATCACGAGCAATATTCAGCTTCACCACTGTGTCTATATCCAAAGCACGTGATTCTTCCAGTGTCAAAGGGTCGGTACGTGTGGTGAGATCGAAATATGCAGGCCTCAACCATTTTGTAACAGTATACGTTCTGGCGAGTACGATTTTTGTAACTGGATCCATAGGGAGTGCTTCAAGCTTTTTAATTGCAAGTAAGAACAGCCGGTTGAAGTCCCACATATGTGCGAGGCGTAGCACAGAAATCCATTCGTCCTGGTTCAGATCAGATGAAGTTCTGTATAATCTATAGAACACAATTTAAACAGCTCAAGCAGGCAAGTAGGAACGAACAAATGGTTAACATACGGGTTGAAGAGCACTTTAAGCAGTGCTTCGAAGTCTTTCACAGTAACGCCATGCAGAACAATGGGTTTCTCATTACTCGTTCCATCGACCGAATCACCAATTTCCCCGGCAGGCAATGCAAACATGTCCTTGAATACATCCGACTCGAGCTCAAATGGGTGGCGTGGAACCTTGAACAGGGTATTCTCGACCTAACACAAGGTATGGCTCAACTAATTTATTGAAGACCTTGATACGGATGACTTACCTCAATTATGATAAAAGCAAAGTAGAAATCAGAGTGTTTCGTTGACGATGCAATTGCACTTGTGTTATCGATCGACATGGTCGGAGCTTGAGTGAGTAGGACCTCATGGCAGCAACCTTATGGTGATGTGAAAACGAGACATCAAAGAAGCAAGACGTAAACCCAGACACGAGTCCTGAACGAGGCAGAGAAGCTTGATAGGTATGAAAACTCCGTGAGACAGCATCATTGGATTGGTGCATTAATTTATAGTATGAGGCTATGAGCATACCACATTAAGGATCCAGAGTCCTTGAATCCATACACATGTAGCGCTTGTAGCCATTATGGAATCGACGAGAATGGTGCCTTTGCGTTCAGCTTGGTTGACGAAAGTCGAATAACCAATTCGGGTAAGAGGCGTGTTGTGTTTCCCGTCACCGAGATACCCGTACCCCGCTTGGTATTCACACGACGCAAGCCTAGCCACTTCTGAGGATCACCATACGTGCAATCGTCCAGTTGAGGTCAGCTCGTTAGTTGCAGATAGGTTTGCCTACAGCTACGAATAGTACAATGTTCCTGCATGTATTTCATTTTCGGGCGCTGTATTTTACAGTCTGGGCGGCCAGCCAAACACATTAATATTGTCCTTGTCGAATTCGTCTGTGATCAATGCGGTGCCAAATTCAGATATTAATGAATTGCTTACTTCCTGGCCAGTTTCATACATACATTTAATCCTTTGCAAGGGACGTGTCTGGAGGGTTGAAGCCGGTTGGCCTGAGGGAAGAAATGTCAGCCTCGACATCCTCTATGCAATACCTGTGTCAACATCATAATGAATGTGATTTGATAGCAGTTATACAGGATTGGTACAACTAATGCGTGCATTATACAAGAAGCATATAGCAACGGATGTACATGGATCCATAAGAGCAGTCAGTAGTACTCTCAGTACTGGACGACTTCACTCCAAACCAAACAATTCAGTTAACACAGAGTTTACAGCTAGTTCAAAACATGCAATCTCCTTCTCATCAAGTAACTTTGTGCCTTTATCATCTGGGTTAAATTCGTCGTCATCCGACACTGGCTGCAACCAATTAGAACCATGTCCCCACCCGCCACCTCCTGTAGTGCCAGTGTTGACCAATCGTTTTGTCTTCTTCTTCATATTACCTTTATAATAAGGCATATCAGAGACAGGATGCTGAGGAGACTTGACTTGAGGGTGTTCCGCCTTTTCGCCCTCAATGATCCACCTGTAATGGAAATCGCGGGCCAAATTCAGCTTCACAACTGTGTCCATACCCAATTCATTTGCTTCTTCAAGTGTTAAAGGCTCTTTTCGAGTTGCCAGTGAGAAATACGCTGGCCTAAGCCAACTTGTGATTGTATACGTTTTGGCGATCGTGATCTTTGTAACTGGGTTCAAGTTGGATATTTCGAGCTTTTGGACTGCGAGCTTGAACAACCTGTCAAATGTCCACTTGTGTGAGAGGCACAGTACAGAGATCCATTCTTCTCGGTTGAGGCTGCTTGACTCCTCAAAGGATCCCCAACCAAACCAGGAGGATGCCCGTCCTTTTATGCTATTTAACACCCCACAAATGCCGAGGAGTGTGATTAGAATAACTTGAAAGGAGCAATTGAATAAGAGTAACAATACTGAAACGTACGGATCAGGCAACAATACTTTCAGCAAGGCTTCGAAGTCCTTCATGGTCACATCATGCAGGACAAAGGGTTCAGAGTCACTGGACCCCTCAGGCAGCCTATCACCACCAGGAGGCAATGCGAACATGTCCTTGAATAACTCTGATTCGTCTTCAAATGGATGACGGGGAACTTTGAAGAGGACTTTTTCAACCTAACAAGCAATAGACATCAGCTGGCTTTTGAAGCTATTAACATGAGAAACAGATACGACTCACTTCAAATATTATGAAAGTGAAATAGTACTTGTGGTGCCTACGTGGCTGTTCGACTGCGTTTGCGTTATCGATAGACATGGTCGAAAGTAGAGAGATTAGCACCTCGTGGCAGCGGTTTTATGATCTTGTGTAAACGAGACATCAAAGAAGCAAGACGTAAACCTAGGCACGAGTCTGGAACGAGACAGAGAAGCTTGACAAATATGGAAACTGCGTGCATGAGGTGACATTCGAGTAACAACAGTTGGTGCATTAAAATACAGTATGAGCATGACACAATAAGAATTCAAAGTCCTTGAATCTATACACAGGTCCTTCAAGGCACCGACAGGAATGGTGCCTTCTTAATCCATTCATTCACCTTGAGCTCATCAACGACGAAAGTCGAAAATCCAATTCGGGTAAGAGTCGTGTTCCGTTTCCCGTCACCGAGGTATCCTGCTTGGTATTCGCGAGTCTGGCCATTTGTGAGAATCGGCACGCGTGCAATCGTCCAGTCGAGATCAGCTCCTTCGTTGCGGATGGTTTGGCCGACGGCTACGATGTCCTTGTATGCATTTCGAGCGCCGTATTTTACGGCTTGGACGGCCAGCCAGAATACGGAATCCTTCTGGTCGAGTTCGTCCGTGATCGATGCGGTACCAAGAGCAATGAGTCGCTTTATTCCAGCCTCGCGCATGCATTTAATGAAGACCGAGTAACCCTTCGCAAGGGGCGTGTCTGGAGGATTGGAAGCAGTCGGGCCAAGGGAAGAAACAACGGCCTCGACACCCTCCAACGCCATAGCAATTGTGTCGACATCATTGAGCTCGCCTTTAATGACGGTCACGTTTGGATTGTTGGTGATATCGTCGGGTAACTTCTGCGGAGAGCGTGCATAGACAACGACAGTATGTTCCGCCTCGAGTAAGTCGCGAATTTGGAGCAGGCCGATAGCCCCCGTGCCACCGAGAACTAGTACACGCATGCTGGGGTATGTAACGGATTACCTGGGTATTTAGAGAGTACAACGTCGAAATGTACAGTGCTACGACGAGTAAGGCAGGTAGCTGCGGAAGCACAAACGTATATATAGCGTCATAGGGATGGTCGCGCACGTGACTTACCTTCACAGTTCGCGTCACATGGGGCATTTCACAATTCCTTACCTTAAAAAATAACTTACATAATGATAAACACTATTTGAAATTTATTTTCCCATTTTTGACTAGCAAAAATTATAAACAAAATTAAAAACTTTCTTTATACAAAAACTAGAAATTATTGTTAACATTTCTTCATTTGTGAAATCTGAAAATAAATAGAGATAATAATCTAAAACATAATTTCAAAACAAAATTAGAAATTTTCTTTTGAATTTTTTGTTATTCCTCTGTAAGGTAAGGAAAGTATAAACTCGACATAGTATGTCACATCAGTCACAGCACAGCCACTTCCCCATTAGGAAGGACCCTGATGGCAAAAATCGAGCGGTGGACATTGACATTTTTTTTAGCACTTGTAAATACAAAAAAAATATAGATTATGGTTTTACAGCTTAGCCAGAATACTAGCTGGAAGGTGTTACAGTTCTCCACTCTTGTACCTTCAGTTCCAAGGGTTCCACACCCTTCCATACCAGAACTCAGGACTTCCATCCCTTAGGGGTGCTGTCTATAAACTATATGTGTGCAGACTCTTACTACTACCCTTTCTTACTTCATCATTCTATTCCTTTGACCACCCCTTCATTCTTTGTATCATTCTATAGTCTCTTACTCTTTATCTATCCCTTCATTCTTTGTACCTTTATCTTTGACATTCCTTTCTTTCATTCTTTGTGGCTCATCATTCTTAGTGGCTCATGCTCCCTGAGTACTCTTGTGTAGTTTAGTATATATAGGTGTACAAGATCAGACTAGTCCTGTAGTCTTGATCTTATCTACTCTAGGTAGTCCTGTACTCTTAGGCTCACTCTATATACTCTACTCTTGTCTCACTCTCTCTCTCTGCCTGTTCTACAAGTTCTGACTATGTTCTAGTGCTCACATTCTGTATTTCTGTTGTGTAGGATAGTGTAGCTTGGGTCCCCTTGCTAAGCCTTTGGGTCCCC